TTTATTTATTTTGTTTATTATCATTTATTTCATTTATGTATGTGTTAAAGTGTTTTTTTTTTTTTTTTCAGGAATTTGTCACCACTGAGGTATTAAAGTTATGTGGTCTAAAGAAAGAGCAGAACCAGAAAACAGACTGGCAAAAAATGATCAAATTTGGACGGAAAAAGCGAGACCGAGTTGACCACATTCTAGTAAGTGTTTTTAACTTCCTATTCAGAATGCTAGTGTCTCAAATTGCAAAAAACTTGCTGACCATGGAGTAAATCTAGTTTAATGTTGCCACTTAAGCTTCATTATGGTAAGGATAGTATGCAGTTTATACTAAATGCATAACTCCATAATTACTCATCTACTTCTAGGTCCAGGAGTTGCATGAGGAGGAATCCCAGTGGGTAAACTATGACGAAGACGAACTTTTTGTAAAAATGCAGCTAGCTGATGGGATTTTTGATGCCTTGCTAAAAGACACGGCTGACGTTCTGACCCAAATCCAAGAGAAGTCGTCCAAAAGAACTCTTTGATGATGCTCTCGTCTGTACAGAGAAAAGTTTAAGGGACCTAAAAGGACATTTAGAGAGGAATTCCCTTTCAGTCTGCTTGTGCAGTCCACGACAAGACCTATAGTGGATTCAGGATTCAAGGCCATAACACCTTGTCAAGATGTCTGACTTGTCGTGGAGATAATCTCATTCTCATCCGGGAAGTCTGATGGTGTTTTCCGATGTTAATTGTAGCAGCTGTTTGGGTCCAGATTCCCCACACTGTGTCTGTCCATCGTTGCTGCTAAAACTGGCTCTGCCATTCTCAAGTCTTATTAAATACAAATGGGTCCGATCAAATCAAGACAGACCTGAATACTTAGACTTGTTTCTATCTTCAGTTAAATTGTATAATAACAAATACTTGTTTTTTTTCTTTTAATCCTATTAATTTATATTTTAAAAAAGGAGCATTTGAATTTGAAAGTATGTAAAGAAAAGAGATTATTTTACCATTGACATGATGATTAATTGCAGAACTAAGCACAATAAGTACAATTTGAATGTTTTAATGGCAATACAATGTAAAGGGATTAGATGCAAGATAATGTTGAATGCAAAAATATGTAAATGATTTTTGAAAACTGTTCTCGCAATGGTTTTGTTTTGCTCCTACAAGCAATGTTGTATTGGCAACACACGCTTATGGTTATTAGATGCCAAAAGATTGAGTTTGACATATTAACTGTGCTAAACACTGACATGCTGGGTTCTAGCCTTAACATTTGCCTTTTATCCCATTCATTTTAAGTGCCTCCATTGTTATGTTTGCTCATGCATGAGCGACTTTTCCCAGCCTTCCTTTGACTTGTCATAACGGTCCCTTTGGCTTTAATCTTGTCTTAACTTATTTTTTCATAGCTGGACAAACCTCTAATAGTGTAAGATGTACATTTCTGCCTTACTTTGTGTGTGTATCCATCATCAGAACCTTTTTAAAGTACATTTTTGTCTTTTTAAGGAAAAAAAGCTGGCACAAGAACACGTTTGTTTACTTTCAAAGGAGGCGTTTTACACAGTGTGTACTTACAGAGGAATTGCTCAAGGGCTCAGCACGTCCATTTCGTTTTTATAACCAAACTGTTATCTATAAATACTGTGATGTACATATTTGTTTGTAAATCAGTCTCCCATTTTAATCCTGGTTTCATCAGAAACATTCTTTGATCATAGTGTTTGAGATGTTTAATTAGCTGTAACCAGCCATTTCTCACCTCTCTTAAAGCTGTACTTTCTGAGCCAGTCTGTCCTTTAGTGACCTGTGGAATAGATCTAGAGTTTTGTGCCGTGTCAGTGGGTTAAACTTCATCTATGCAGTAACAGAGTCTCTGATACCCAGCATCAGTCGCTCATCCAATAGCACGTCTAATTGGTAACGGAGATCTCTACCTCGTTCCGAGAATAGGCTACTACTAATAGTCTTTTTGGATAATAAGTTTAAACTTGTCACTATGGGTGGATAATTCTCTGCCTTAGGGGAAATTAGGATTTGTGTGGCACAAATGGTTTGATAATCAGTTTCTACTTTTAAATTGGTAGGTCTTAGAAATGTTTTTCATCCGTAAGTGTATGTGTATTTATAATGGTATACTGTGAGTGACAGAGGTGCACTTGAAGACTTGTAAATTGTTTTACCCATGTAAATAGAGTCGATGCCTATATATCTCCTCCTGTGAGTGGACTCAAGGAAGATTGCTGTGAAAATGGGCATGGTTCCTTTTGCTTCCATGTATATATTATAGATTTGTTAACTGAACTGATCCTTTGGAAATTGTAAATAAAGATGATCTCATTTCTCAGTCATAACATTTGCTGTGAGATCATTTGTTTCAGAACCTTTTTAAACTACATTTTTGTCTTTTTAAGGAAAAATAAATGGTTGTTACACTGCTGGCACAAGGACACTATTTTCTTTTAAAGGAGGCTTTTTAGACTGGTGTATTTGTTTGTTGGTTAGTTGGTTTTTGTCAAGAAAAGTTTTTTTATGCATGTTTAACAACAAAAAAAAGTAATTTAAAAAACTGAAGCACAACTGACAATTTAATTAAAAAAATTGGTCAGTTTAAAAATGTTTTATATCAATTGCATTGAATTATAATATCAGTTACACATAATCTCAAATTTTGACGTGATTTTGTTTGTTGGAGACAGTCCAGAAAGTCAACTGTTACCTCTGAGGTGGGACGGGCCAAAGTCACCAATAAGGCAGTTGAAAAACATTTTATGTGTAATTTTGTGTTAGACATTATTTAAACACATTAAATATTTCTCAACAAATTATGCCTCTAATGCTAATGGGATCAGCAAAGAGTGCTGTATTCGGGATATGTGCCTTGTGTAAAATGTCAGTTTCATCCTCCAAATGTTAACCATGGTCTCTTTCAGTATCAACATTGATTTAAAGTGCGCCTGGGTGGAATGTCCCCTGTCAGAAACTTTGGACTAGATGAGAATATGCAATGTCAATATTTGAGCAAAGGCTGATTCTAAACGAATAGATCAGGGTGTCAACACAGACCTATGGGAATGACCAAACCTACTCTGGCTTACATACTGTATATATATATATATATATATATATATATATATATATATATATATATATATATATATATAAAGAGTTCAGATGCAAAAGCCTCTAAGTGCCATTTGAAATTTTCTTTTAGAATGATCATTTTTATCAAGCTTGTATATTTAAATTCAGTAATTTCACTTAAATTGCAATGAAGATTACCTATTTATTGTCATTCCAGTGAAATTACTGAACTTGAACATCTAAGCTTGATAAAAATGATCATTTTAGAAGAAAATTTGAAATGGCATTTAGAGGCTTTTGCATCTGAACTCTTCATATATTGTTAGTTTAATGTAAAGGAAGTTACCTTGCATACCTTAAAAATTTGAGTTCATTGAAATAATAAATTTGAGTTAAAGGAGTAGTTCACTTTAAAAAAAAAAAAACTTTCTGATAATTTACTCACCCCCATGTCATCCAAGATGTCCATGTCTTTCTTTCTTCAGTCGAAAAGAAATTAAGGTTTTTTATGAAAACATTCCAGCATTTTTCTCCATATAATGGACTTCAATGGGAACCAAACGGTTCAAGGTCCAAAAGACAGTTTCAGTGCAGCTTCAAAGGGCTTTGAACGACACCAGACGATGAATAAGGGTCTTATCAAGCGAAACGATCGGTCTTATAAAACAAAGTTTTATAAGCTCAAATGGTCGCCTTGCTCTTTTCGGTTCTTTCATGAATCTCCTGTTCGAACTCGTTCATCAAAATGAGCAAATCGTTTTCCGAGTCAATTCGTTCATTTCATTCGTTGAATCAGCCAAATTACACGAAAAAAGATTCGTTCATTTTGATAAACGAGTTCGAACAGGAGAGTCACGAACGCGCATCACAGAACAGAGCAAGGTGACCATTTGAGCTTATAAAACTTAAACTTTGTTGTTGTTTTTTTGTTGTTTTTTTAAATGAGCTATCGTTTCACTTGATAAGACCCCATCGTCTGGAATCGTTTAAAGCCCTTTGAACAGTTTGCACTGCTTTTGGACCTTGAACCGTTTGGTTAACAGTAATTAGTGCATAATAGGGAGAACAATCCTGGAATGTTTTCATCAAAAAACTTAATTTCTTTTCGACTGAAGAAAGAATGACATGGACATCTTGGATGACATGGGGGTGAGTAATTTTTTTATTTTTTTTAAAGTGAACTACTCCTTTAATAGAAAAAATGAGATTGGTTTAAGAAATAGAAACTCAAAATATTGTTATCTGAACAACATAATCATCAACCAGGTTTAGGTGCGTCTACATCAGTGATTCATCATTTTCCTCTAAGTCTGATTTTAGGGATTTATTGGTAGGGTTAGGTTTAGGGGTAGGGAGACGGGTTGGATGGGTTTTGGACAAAAACGTTGCTACAACATTACATGTTGTCAGGATCAACGAAACACCCAGCAAACAGAATGTTTTTTTTTTTTTTTTTGCAACAATAAAACCATTAAAGAACGATCTGTATAAGTTATTTTATTTAGTCTATTTAAAAATAACCTCCCAGCAACGTTCTGAGAACGTTTTACTGTTGCAAAAACTAAAACCTAAAAAAAAAAAAAAAACGTTCAGAGCGTTACTATTTGGTTTTAGAAGCAAATAATAACGTTAGTGGAACGTTCTGTGTTTGCTAATCCACGGACAAGAGAAAATATTTAAAATAAACGTTAAAAAGGAGCGTCACGGCATGAGAAAAAGTTTTCAAGATCGATTTTTCTGTGACCGCGCGACCTTTTAACAAAAAATAGTTTACAAAAATCCATCGACTGTGACATAAAAGTGTTAAAAACACCCATGTTGGTTTGTTTTGCTATGAAGTATAGTTCAGGGAAGCGAGCGTTGAGTAGGCTACAGTTAAGGCAAGTGGGAGGGGAGCTGAACGTGTGACCAGTCGCAGTAAACTTTCTATCACTTTCTAATGAACTTAGTTTAGTTTGACCTGAAATACGGGAAGATGGCGCGGTGGAGCTGCGGTGCCACGTCTTGTTACACGGCAAAAAACACATTAAATCCTTTTAACTCTTTTTTATGTGCTTTTATTTCTTGTTTAATTATTTGTCCTTTAATCACCGATGCTGGGCTGTACACAGCGTCGGATCAAGTTATTATTTTATCACCGGAGAACGTGTACTCGGTGGTGTATAACTCCAGCGCGGCTCGTCTCGTGATGTTTTACGCGACCTGGTGCGGACACTGTGTCGCCTTCTCACCCACCTGGAAAAGCCTCGCCAGAGATATTAAAGGTTAGTATTCGCTATATTTCCATACCATGAAGCTACTGTAGCAAAGTAAAACAGCTGTTCGTGTGCTGTAGCCTCAGTGCAACTGCAAAATAGTCGACAATATCATTTACCATGGTAACCGGTTTGTTTCCTCAGAAATAGCATACTTGTTTTGTTACTACAATACTAAAAGTGGCATTGTTGGTATCATTAGCCACCATTGTTAATAAAAAGAAATAAACACAACATGGCAGTAATCTTCCACAGGGTTTAAAGGACATTTTAAACACATGATTCGGCGAGTTGCAAACACTTTTTGCCGTAATTTTCGCCGAATGTGATGTTTTTGTGAGGTTTTAGACTGCTGAATTCTAACACATTGAAAACCTTCAACCTGCACATTAATTACCTCAATGATTGATTTTTCACTAAGCTGTTAAACTAATCTAGCTTTCTCCGTTGGACACAGACAGCTAGATGATATAATGACCCAGTGAGCTGCCTACTTTTTGCAAAGGCGTTCAACTATACACACACATAAGCAACGTCTCAAAACTTAAGTTGTCTACCTAGTAAATGAGTGTGTAATAGTGTGTATCACATGACATAGTCAGCTGTCTGCCAAGTGAGTACCTGGCCAGACATCATTGGTGCATTGAGTCAATTAACTTTAATCCATACCAAATAGGCAGTTCATTTAGGTTTTGAGACACCACTACACTGAGGTGCATATTTGTTCCTCTTCTGTTGCTCAAGTTTTGATGTTTTGGAGATGCTAATCTAGGCTGACGGAATCTTTGTTCATGTAAAACACTTGTTGGCAGGCTCTTTTGACTCCTGGAAGTCCCCCTTGTGAAAGGTTATTGGAGCGTGTTGTTATAACACAGCCTTTAAACTTAATTTTTGCAACCTTACAACATCATGCAACTGAAATTGATTTGCTAAAACGTTATCAGCACCATTCTGTGCATTCATTCATTTTCATAAACTCAGCATTCTGTGTCGTGTTGCTTTTGTAGAATGGAAGCCTGCTGTGGATCTGGCTGCTATTGATTGTGCTGATGAAAGCAACAGAAAAGTTTGCACCAATTTCGGCATCACAGGATATCCCACGCTGAAGGTAGTGTGCAGTTAGAGTACAATTACTGTTGCTGTTGTGGTTTGTCTGGGGTTTTTTTCCTGTTTTTTTCTGTAAAATAACATAGGCTAATGTTCAAATGTTTGGGGTTCAAATGTTTATTTTTTTTGATGCATTAAAATGATGAAAAGTGACCATAAATACATGTTATGGATGATTTATATTTCAAATGAATACTGTTCTATTCATTCAAGAATATTTTCCACAGATATATTTAACAACAACTGTTTTCAACATTTTTATGATTATATATTAAAATGATTTCTTCTGAAGGATCATGTGGCAAATTCAAATTAATTAAAATTCAGATATGCCATCACGGGAATAAATTACATTGTGAAATACATTATAGAAAACCTGTTTTTGATCTAATAAATGCAGCCATGGTGAGCATAACACACTTTAACAAAAATCTTACCAACCTCAAACTTTTGAATTGTGATATTTCATAATTTTATGCATTGCTGATTTTATACAACCATAATTGAAACTTTCAAGACAAAGTTGATATTTAATATGTTCCAAACTCTGAAAATGCAAGCAACATCCGAGCAATGCAATTTTCTCTTGTTTGAAACCTTATGCATATTTTATAAAATGTCAGAGTTAAGTATGTGAATGCGTGTGAACTCCAATTGGCAATAAATGGAAATGAAGATGTTCTAAAGTCAAGTTTAAAAATGGTATTGGGCCTCATGAACTATAAGAAGAAACTGTCTGTAAATTGTAAATAAAATCTTCTTAAATTTTTGCTGCCATGACAAATGATTTACACAGAAATTCATTCTGCTTGTGTTTCATGAATGAGGCCCATTGCAGATTGCAATAGTTTGACTTGTTGAGGTTTTTCCACACAGATGAATCCATTTTATTCATGAATAACTGTTCTTTGTTCAGTCATGCACTATGGGTCTGGGCTATTCGGAAGCCAGAGGAACGGACTGATGTAACAGAATCTGTCAGTTCTTTGTCCAAATTTCTCCATGTAAACATTCAGCTGTTGCCGTTCCTTGAATTATTACCTGCCATCAGTTTCCTTCAAGAACACATCCTGAAATCATCACTACAGTTTCCTCTAGTGTTTGAGTATTTTTGCATCTGGGAACTGTTGACTAAAGCTGTCAGTGAGGCACTGCAGCCAACTGATGTGAAGGTCTCAAGTAGCAAAGCTAATGATCTCCCTCTGTCTTTCTCAGTACTTCCCTGCTTATTCAACCAATGAGTCCATGGGGCAGCAGTTCAGTGGTAAAAATTTATTTCTTTATTCTTTTATTTTTAGTTCACTCCAAAATGAAAACATTTCTCTCAGTTACTGATGTTCATGTTGTTCCAAACCCTTATAACATTCTTCTGTCTGTCAGAAACATTCCCACATTTCAAGGATTAGAAGAGAAGAGTAGAAGATAAAGTTTTAAACCGTTCCAGCCAAAATAGACTGGGAAGAATTTGGAAATTCCACATGTAGTCAAAGCAAGCTGAATATCTCACAGTAAATAAATTGGTTGTTTGCAAGACCACAGCAACAGTTGTCGAGAGCAAACGAAAAAGCCTTGTGCCACACATTCGTGTGGTCACATTTTTAGCGTTAGTATTTTACTGACCGAAAATAAAGCATTAAAGAACATTTACAACCCATTTGTTTGTAGCTTAACCTCTGCTGTCCTGCCACCAAAAAGTATTATAATAGTAATCCAGTCTTTTGAATTCATGACAGCTTAGTGTGAAAAACAGAAAGAAATCTACGTTTGTTATACACTAAAAATCTCACCTTACCTCTCCCATTAATGTCATTCTCAGGAGAACTATCCCTTTTAATATCCAATCCAAATCTTAATCCAGATCTGTGATGTGCATGATGACTTTTATCGATGTGTGAACATATTTTGAATGTCCATGTAGGACCTGCAAAGGATGTGAGAGGCCTTCGGCACTACATTATCAATAAATTGGAGCAGCAACATGAGGCTTGGCCACCAGCTTGTCCACCTTTAGAGGCAGCTAGGTTAGAACACAATGTCTTACTTTCCTAAAGCATTCTAAAGCAGATTTTTAAGCTTATTTTATTTTTGTTTGTTGTTTTTTTTGTTGTACTTTGAATCTTTGTTGATTAAATAAGTTCTGTAATGTAAAAGGTCAGCGAACATGTTGGTTTTGTGTGCTATGAGTTGACATTGCTGTGTAAAAGGTCCGTCGTATGCTCACAGGGAAGGAAAAGGACACACCATAAATAAACTTGAGTTGCATCATACTTATTTCTCTATTTTGGTGTCATCTGTCAAATCATTGCAGGAAATGTTTAACCCACTGATGGTCTTCGTTTAGGAGTCACGTCCTGAGCCTTCCCGGCCAAAAGTGACCGGACACCTAAAAATGAAACTTCCTCCATCCCAGTAAAAACCAATGCAATTTGTTTTTGTTCTATAATATTTATTCTTTTAATTGACTATTTTGAGACCATTTGATTAAATTTATTAATATTTATGCAATATTTATGGTCTATTTTTGTCATGGAAAAATATACAGTATATATGTATATATATATATATATATATATATATATATATATAATGCAGTAATGTAGTTTAATATAGAGTCTAACCTTCAGAAAAAAATATTTTTTGAAGAAAATCATCAAGAAAATCATCATCTGGTTACAGTATAGCGAAAAAGCGTAGAACCATGGTGTAACCACTAGATGGCATGTACAGCATTTTTTTTGGTGGGTTTGAATACATATTTGAAACCATCTCAAAAACGATTTCTTATTAAGTTTTTTTATTTTTAGAAATAGTGATAAAGAATTGTTTCACATTAATTTCCTATGGGGGTCATTTTTGACCGAAGACCACTTAGCATGCTCGGATCATGAACTCAATTTTTTTGTGTGCTCACATCCCTAATGCCAGAAATGTCACCAAGTTTCGTAACATTCAGATGAAGCAGTGATTTTTTTTAAAATTCAAAACAGAAAATTATTCGGTCAGAAGTGACCGAGGACCATCAGAGGGTTAAATATAAAGCTCCTCGGAAAGCCAATAAATAGAAAAAGCACAGAAATGTCAGAAATAGTTTAGAGAGGGATTAAAAAGATTCGTTTTCTTACCGTTATTCGTGTTCATTTGCAGGGTCTGCTTCACACACACACGATTTTGCACAGGTTTTATGTCGGATGCCCTTCCACAAATTTAAAAAAAACATATATATATATATATATATATATATATATATTATATGTGTTAACAAAAAGTTAGCATTAAAGTTAAATTAGTTCAAGACTTACTTTTAGTAAATTGTCTTGATATGAGCAAACTATAGAGTCAGACCGTGTCTTCATTATGGACCAGTTTGCATTACATTATCTTTACTTTTTTGAATATAATACATTTTCTCTCCACAGTGTGGCAGAGATCGACAACTTTTTTCAGACCAACAATGTAAAGCACCTTGTTCTTGTGTTTGAGAGGGAAAACTCCTATGTGGGGAGAGAGGTGAGATCAGTTTACACAAAGATGATTTAAAGATTCATGTCATTATGTATTCACCATGTCGTTCCAAGTCCACTTTCCTTTCATGGAACACAAAACAATAGGTTTAGACTAATTTGTTCATAATTTTTCCATGTATTTTCAAGCCTCAATCTTTCTATTAAGACTTGATGGGAAAAATACGGAATCACTTTTATTGAAGAGGATTTTTCTGTACCAAATTTACTATGTTCTAAATCTAATAGGTTGGATTAGATTTGTAGATATTTTTTTAAGTGACGTTGGATTGTTTTTCTTTAGGTGACATTGGATTTGTTGCAGTACGAGAACATAGCTGTGCGCAGGGTTTTGGACACAGAGACAAGTTTGGTGTCCAGGCTTGGTGTGACCGAATTTCCTTCCTGCTATCTGTACTACCCGTCCAGATACTTCTGTAGAATAAAAGTGTAAGTGCTCCATTTCCTTTATTCATCTTTACAGCATATGTAAAATCAGTTTACATGATTTTGCAATGACTAATTTCATGGAGATTTTCAGGATTAAATTGTACATTAAATCATGTAAATTAAAGGTAGGGTAAGCAATTTTTGGAGCGGCAAGCAATAGCGAGCTAGCTTTGAAAGCATATGATCCCACCCTCCCTTCAGAGCGTCTCCAAAGCCACGCCTCCTCCAAAAAACATCAACACACACAGCAGAATTTGCAAAGTTTCACAAGACAAGATAATAATAATGAACTTAAACAACTTAGAGCGCTGACCTGACAGCTTAATTTCAGCATTGATAGTGTTGCGCATTTATTCACCCTGATGTCATCCAAGATGTCCATGTCTTTCTTTCTTCAGTTGAAAAGAAATTAAGGTTTTTGATGAAAACATTCCAGGATTTTCTCCATATAATGGACTTCACTGGGTACCAGACAGTTCAAGGTCCAAATGACCGTTTCATTGCAGCTTCAAAGGGCTTTAAACGATTCCAGGCGATGAATAAGGGTCTTATCTAGCGAAACGATCAGTCATTTCAAAAATAAATAACAGCGTTTAAGTTTTATAAGCGTAAATGCTCGCCTTGCTCTGTGCTGTATGACTCCTGTTCGAACTCATTCATCAAAATGAACAAAACTTTTTCGAGTCATTTTGTTCGTTGAATGAACAAAATGACTCTCAAAAGATTTGTTCATTTTGAAGCATCTTGGTGCATGAGCTAAAGCCGAGGCATTTAACTCTTCGATTCTTATAATTAAGTATTTAGCATTTGTCTGATCCCATCTTCTCAGATTTTTATGATCATTAGCCATTGCAGGAAAAACCTCCACAACATCTGGCAATGTTAATGAGACAACAGAGTTTTAATACATGCCATTATTCAAGATCACAGAGCTTTCATAATCATTTCTAACCAGGAGCATAAATCAGAGGTTTGCATGCTTTGTTATGCTTGTTTGAGAAAAATAACTTGGCACGGGTGTGGGGCTCTTTAGATGACAAATGCAAAAGAGAAATGATTTATGGTTGGCTTATGTTGTTTCCGTCCTTCTTGATGGTGTGCAGAGGGTGTGCGCATGTGTGTGGAGGGGGTTTTAATCTTCTACACAAAACAATAGTGTTCATTTTTTTGCGTTTCACCTGCCAAACAGTCCCTGCTCTGCAGAGCAACAGATGGCGTGCCGTCAGGTCTGAATGCGTGATTGATCTTGTGTAGCATGCGCAAAAAACACAAACACACACACACTATCTCCACGATCTCCCCGAGCAGAACAGGTCCTCGTGGTCTCAGAAGCGTGCCATCAGACCCTGGGGACCTCAGGCTTTGCCCCGTCTCCCCGTTGAGGGTTGATTGAAGCCTGGGTAGATGAGGGAGTGTGTGTCCGCCTGTGCGAGAGACTCAGGAATGCACAGTGGTGTTTATTGTTTGATTGCCAGGGTTAGTCAAGAGGGTAATGATCAGTAATGACATCTCATCAGCACGCCACATCCACCATCTGCTCATCCGAGGAGGAAAGTAAAATGGATGATAGTGGAAAACAGGAGAAGTGAGACATGGGAGTATAAGCTCCTAATGCATTCCTAGACACAATTAATATTTTGGGGGGAAAGTAGCTTTTTAACATCATTAATTTCCAGAATTCTTAAGAAAGTTTTGAACTGGAGTGTCAAGAATTCAAGAGTCAGTTTTATATCTAGAGATGGCAGATATAATGCTATATATATATATATATATAAAAGAGCTCACCAAAATTGGACAGTTGAAGACCGGAAAAATGTTGCCTGGTCTGATGAGTCTCGATTTCTGTTGAGGCATTCAGATGGTAGAGTCAGAATTTGGCGTTACAAACAGAATGAGAACATGGATCCATCATGCCTTGTTACCACTGTGCAGGCTGGTGGTGGTGGTGTAATGGTGTGGGGATGTTTTCTTGGCACACTATAGGCCCGTTAGTGCCTAAAGTGGGCATCGTTTAAATGCCACGGCCAACCTGAGCATTGTTTAAGACCACCATGTCCATCCCTTTATGGTCACCATGCATGTACCATCTTCTGATGGCTACTTCCAGCAGGATAATGCACCATGTCACAAAGCTCGAATCATTTCAAATTGGTCTCTTGAAGATGACAATGAGTTCACTGTCCTAAAATGGCCCCCACAGTCACCAGATCTCAACCCAATAGAGCATCTTTGGGATGTGGTGGAACGGGAGCTTCAGGCCCTGGATGTGCATCCCACAAATCTCCATCAACTGCAAGATGCTATCATATCAATATGGGCCATCATTTCTAAAGAATGCTTTCAACACCTTGTTGATTCAATGCCACGTAGAATTAAGGCAGTTCTGAAGGCAAAAAGGGGGTCAAACACAGTATTAGTATGGTGTTTAAATATAGTGTAAGATATTACCAAGGATGCATTCAAATGATCAGACGTTACAGTAAAGACATTTGTTACATTTATGTTTCTATTCATAAAAGAATCCTGAAGAAATCCACAAAATATTAAGCCGCATTTGGCTTATTTACTGCTTAATAAATTTATTTGCTTATTTTGCAAGTAAATACAGCCTTAGTGAGCATAAGATAATTTGTATCTAAAATATTTTCTAAATCATAACAGACCCCACATTTTTTTAACAGTATATAAATGCACTGAACATTTTCACTGTAAGAACCACCTTGTCATTTCTGTACCACTCTATTTAGTCTATTAAGCATATTTTTCAAAGTGCCTGCCTTTACCAGGCAAAGATTTTATTCTTTTAAAGTTTTATAATGAATATTTTTTAAAAGATATCATCTGAAATAATGGTAACACTTTACAATAAGGTTCATTTATTAAACATTAGTTAATGTATATTAACTAACATGAACTAACCATGAGCAATACATTTGTTACTGTTTTTGTTCATCTTTGTTAACGTTAGTTAATACAAATCTAGCTGTTCATTGTTTGTTCATGTTAGTTCACAGTGCATTAACTAATGTTAACAAGATTTTAATAAAGTATTAGTAAATGTTGAAATTAACATTAACAAAGATTAACAAATGCTGTAGAAGTATTATTCATTCTTAGTTAATGTTAACTAATGTAGTAACTAATGAACCTTATTGTAAAGTGTTACCGAAATAATATATAATTTTCTTTTATATAATTTTCATACTGTGCCATAAGAGTTGTTTATTGTTTGTTAATCTACTTAAAATTATTGGGCACATGCCATGCAAAATAGCCTTTAGTGCTGATAGTGTATTAAACATTTGTACTATTTACTTAACTCCAAATTCTAAATCTGTTACAATAATTGGGGCTTTTTTCATCCATAAGGCTACCTGTCAGTATAATATAGAATTTATACTGTTATTTTTTAAACTCCCCTTGACATGGGAATTTTTTATTAAAGTCATTTTTAAAAATGCATCTCAGAATGTCCAAACATCAGTAAATGAATCTGCCAGGCCGAAATAATAGTCGCTTTAGTCACAACTTAAATGTTTTACATACTTCCTGTCTATAACTTTACTTCACGAACTGTCAGAGTATGTAATGCATTTGATGAACATTTTTCTCGACCCAGTATGTTCTGTAAGTATGCATGTAGTTTGATTACAATCCAAACATGCTGCTTCTGCCCTGTGAGATGCAGTAGGGAATTTCTTTACCTAATGTTTCATGAATATGTATTTTGACATACTGAATTTTGCTTACTATATAGTAGGGAAGTAATTATATTTGGAAGTAGACTGTCTACCCTAATCCTACCCTATTTCTTTCTCTAATCCAGACGCAAACCTTAACCTTAACTCTTCTTGTAATTGCTGTCCTAAATTGAACTGATTCAACAAACAGCAGCTCTCTAAACAGGGTTTTGAGCTCTTCTGGAGTCTGACAGACATGACAACCACTCCACATTCTTTTGTCAAATGTTGTCACATACTTCGTCATGTTTAGTGGTTGTGTGACTGACCCTCATTCCTTTTTCTCCTCCCTTCTTAGACTCAGTGAAGCTCGTACCTTCTACACATATGCCCTCCAGAGGTTGCCAGGGGTAGTGCGGTCAGGCAAACCCCAGACTCCCATCACTGAACTCATCAAGAACACAAATCTAGAGGAATGGAGGCCCTTTAACAAGTTAGTGCACACAAGCTGACATACACTAATCAACCATTGAGCCATTTAAGCCTCTAAATTGTTCATTGTCTTCCCACATGTAGACATAATTAACATATTAATGCATAATTAAATTATTTACATAAATGCACTGAACAAGCTGTTACAGGATGCACATTTTTATTAAGTCTTATTACACTTAACAAATCAGAAGTTAATGAAAATTCAAATATGAACATTCATAAATCAGAGCTTCATTTGTTTAAGGGATAGTTCACCCACAAATGTCAAATGTCATCATTTGTGATACTTGGTGCTGCTGATTCGACCATTATAGTGACAGCAGCCAATCACATTACTTTTCCAGTGTTGCATGATCACTTTTGGCTAGCATCTTCACTAGGGTATTTGCATAGGCGATCTGATTGGTTGACGCCTGTGTTGGCGCTTGAAAAGTTGAAAAATGTTCAACTTCTGCCGCAAGCAACACCAGTGATGCAACACAACGGAGCACACAATTCAGTTCGGCAGCGTATGTCGTCACCCATTTAAAGTAAATGAGAAGTGTTAACGCCGACAACCAGTGTGAATCCACTGTATGACTTATGAAGAGATACAATCACTTTATATGATGAACAATTATTCTAGGCTTTCGTTCACATATATGCTTAGAGCAAATGGGAAGCCATCACATAAGGTAAACACAGAAGCTTGTGCATTCGCAACATGCTAAAACGAACCTCATTGGTTCTCATGGACGCAAGAAGTGATAGTATCTCCTCGTAATACTTAAACCGCTTAATTCATATGGATTCATTTTTAGATATTTTTGGTTTTGGTAACCTGGACTTTCAATGGAGGGACAAACATCTCAGGTTTCATTAAAAATATCCTAATTTGTGTTTTGAAGATTAACCAAAGTTATGGGTTTGGAATGAAATGAGGGTGAGTGAAAGATGAGAGAATTTTCATTTTATGTGAACTATCTCTTAAGGGTTATTTAATGTATTCATGCTTTCAACAACAATGATGTATATAGTTAAAGGGATAGTTAAAGAGAAAAAATTAATTTTGGGTGAACTACCCATTTTAACTATAACACATTATTGTGTTATAGTTGAATCCCCAATGTATATGCATTTCTTTCTTCAGGAAAACACAAAAAAAGATTTAAAAAAAATTCTGTGAGTCTGTATAATGAAAGGTGATGGTTGAAAAAAAAACGCACACAGCGATCATGATGGTACTGCAGATGCACAGAGGACCGCCACTTCTTTAAGCTCTTCAACACACTTCCATCACGCATCACAACGTCCCTCTCAAGAACGATTGAATAGCAGTATACTGGATGCAATGACCTGTCATTTCACTTCAGAAGTCATTGATTCAACCACTGGGGTCATATGATTACCATCATGATCACTATGTGTGGTTTTTCAAGCGTCAACCTAGCAGCACCTATTCACTTTTACTATTCATGTTTTCCTGAAGAAAGAAATTCATATACATTGAGGATAGCTTGAACGATTTTCATTTTTGGGTGAATTATCCCTTTAAAGTGTTAACCAATTAAATCGTGGACTTTCGTAGTTGCCTCTCATGATTTAAATGGTACGCATAATGTCAGCGATTGTCCTACAGAGGTTTCTATGTGTGTGCATTTAGGACGGGTGTGTATATGTCTGATTTGGAATCAGCGCTGCATTATTCTCTGCGTGTAGAGCTGTCTGGTCACATCCGCATCAGTGGAGACGATCTGACTGCACTCAAAAAGTATATGCATGTACTGGTTAAGGTGAGTCATATCAGTAAACGCACACATTAAACATCTAGTTTTTTAAATATCTATTATCCTTTATATATCCTTTTATATCATTAGCCAAGTCAGTTCACATGACAAACCACTAGCGGGAGATACACTGAACATTTCAGTCTAAGAGGTGTTTTTCAGTGCTTGTGGCCTTATCTTGGAGATCAGTCCGATTTTTAGAAAGTAAAACTTATGGTCAAATGGCTGATTCAGGGAGAAAATCTATTAGCATTTATGAAAAAAACGGTACAGTGGTAATAAAAGCTTGATGCTGAAATGTTTTCAAAGTGGCATGTGCACTTGATGTGAAACTAGATGATATTTTCTGATATTTAAGAATTCATCCAAGGAATTCATTTTGCATTTTCCTTGTAAAACGCTGATCAAAGAGCTGAATATTATTTTTAAAGGATTTGTCCAACTTAAATGATACAATTTTTATTTTATTTTTTTTATGAAAAGAAAATAATTTAGGCTGAAAATAATCCAACGCATACTAAAAGCATAATTATTTGAGTTATTTAATATTTCTTTGATTCTGGGTATTTCACTGCATTGGTGTAGCCTACGGTTCTATTGTTTCCTCATATATTTATTTTTTTTAATTAAATATTCTCACAATCTTTCTCAGAAGAAATGTTCACCTCGGAATCAAATAAATATGAAGTTAAGGTTTCATGGTATTATCTGACCTTATTTTAATGATAATAAATATGTCTTGCATATTTTTTGATTTTGAGGGTGAGTTTCTTAACATTGAGATTCACTAGAATATTCTCTATTATGTTGTCTTTTTTTCTTTCTCTCACCGCTCTCTACTGGATCAGACACGTGCCACGGATCTCTTTGATGAGTTCTGAGACAATGACCTTTCGCTGGCTTTGCGTCTGTCCTGCGTAGCACTGCCAATCTCTCTGATTATTTAGGGCTCTCCAGGGAAGGTCTACACAGATGCCTGGAGGAGTGGCAGGGGCCCTGGGCAGGCCTCCCATTAACTGTGGTTAGTTTTGTCAATACTCCCGGCTCCCTCTGGTATTCCAGTGTTCGCTGGGCCTCTTCAGAGTGTCCTTGCTGTTTTTGGCCTGCTCTTTTGAGCTGCCTTGTTAAACAGACACGCTGGCTGCATTAATTGACACTCTGTGAAGAGGAAGTGTTTAACCCCACTAAAGCAAAGCATGGAGAGATTAATGGTGGCACGGAGGAACAAGCACAGACATCGCACACACACACACACACACACACACACTCCGTGTTCTGAGCTGAAGTTCTGTACAGTGGCTTGAATGCTAAACACACTTTAGATTAAGATGCTTAGAATGCAGACAGACTGATGTAATGGGGTAATCCTGTGAACCTGCCCTCTCGTCCTGAACCTTTGTCCTGGGGTCTTTAAAATTACAAACAAAAATATATGTATAAGATATGATGCTGGTAAGATGCAAAGAATAGCTGTTTTCTTTTTTATTTTATTATTTTTAATTATTTATTATTGTATCATTTAAAATGTATGTATGAGTGTGTGTGTGTGTTTGTGTGTATATATATTTATATATATAGGGCTGGGCAACGATTAATTAATGTGTGCGTAGTGTGTATAATTATTTTATATTTATAAATACACTCACATGCATGTATGTTATAAGAAAAATGTGTTCTTAATATATCAAATATTTATACATAATATTAATTATGTATAAATATATAAAATATATACATGCAAATATTTCTTAAATATACATGCATGTGTGTGTATTTATATATACAAAGTAATTATACACACTACACACACATATATTACGTAAACACAAACTTTTATTTTGGATGCAATTAATCACGATTAATCGTTGCCCAGCCCTTATATGTGTATATATATGTATATATGTATGTATATATATATATATATATATATGTGTGTGTGTATACGTGTATGTGTGTGTATATATTTTTTTATATATATATATATATATATGTGTGTGTGTATATATATATATATATATATGTGCGTGTGTGTATATATATATATATATATATATATATTTATGTGTGTGTGTATACTCTATGTGTATGTGTGTCTGTACTGTATACTGTATACTATATATAGCACAGCAGTTTACTGCCAGAGTGGAGTTTGACACAGCAGTGTTTTCCTCGGTCACGCTGTTGCTTAACGTATCTGGGTTTGCAGCACAATCCGGATTTGTATGAATCAGAACATGTATTTCAGGATTAAAAGAGTGGATCTTGGAGACATGAGAGCATTACAGAGAGGCTTTAGGATTACCCATCTTTATCCTGCTTTCTTGAAAGAGGCTTCCTGCTACGCAAGAGGGAGAGAATAAAACAAGGAATTAGAAGGCAATTTGAGGTCCAGATCCAGCCGTGCCTCCATCTTTTATCTCCGGGCATGGTGTCCTAAATGTCTGATCCTCCGTTTCCTCCGTTTTCATTCGAACAACTTTCAGAGATCCCTAATGTTGGGGGACACCTAGCACCTGCTGTTGGTTAGTGCCGTGATAACAGGGAAACAGTTTAGAGGGCTTTTACATGGCCCACTTGTATTTGAGTCCCAGCGGGTGAGATTAAACGGGGGTCTTCCTCAGGGCTTGGCCAACAGATGCCATCTCTTTTGAACCACTGCAGAGAGAGAGACTGTGGCTTCTTGAATGCTGATACTAATCGGATTGGAGATGACATATTGCTAGGGTGAAGTGGATTGTCATGGTCCGAAGGGGAGGAAGAAGGGAGAGCGGGGAGCTGAATCAGTAAGGACAGTGATTGGAAAGGTCTGTTTGTGGTTAGTGATCTATATCCCTGCTTTGGTAAATGGAATATGCAGAGGCTAAATATACTCTTAAAAATACTGGATACAAGGAAAATACTGTTCAAGAAACTGTCCGTATATCAGGGTATCTTTCAAAACATTGTCTTTTCTTGAAAAGATAATCTCTTCTGACGTCCCTAAAAGTATATATAAGTCACGCTTAAAAATGTCTGAATGTTATTGCATTGAATAGCAGAGTATCGTGGCATCTGCAAAAAAATTACTTTTCTGTGCCATTATTAACTTTAACAAACTGGTCCAATTTTTTGTAATCGTGTAAAGTCAGTAACATTTGACAACCAAATACGGTATCAGTATGTTTTATCAGTAACAAAGTAGGGTTTAATTATTTAGTATTATGTAATAGGTTTTATAAACTAACAGATTATTAAAAGTTTTAAATAATGAACATTAAAGTATAATGAATGAATAATATTTATTATAATTAAATATTGAGTCCATTTCTCTATGGAACTTGGTTCAACTTGCAAACCTTCTCAGTACCTGCTTGTTTTTTCAATGACAAGAGAGCGAACGATGTTTTTACGTCATTGTGTAGATACGCTTGTGCCAACTTCAAGCATAACAATTACAACAACCCCGACCCCAGCCCCCGACGTAATCATGTTGTGGTAAAAGAACGGTTCTAGTCCAGCAAAGAATTGGTGCCGCTTTGGAACCAATTTTCCTGTCCGAGAACCGGTTCTTTGGCTTTCAAAACACAAAGAACTGGTTCGCGAGTAGGCACAGGCTCCGAACTGGCTCTCAAAATGCTTTGGAGGTAAAAGAGACTTTGCAGCATAACAGAATGATTCCACAGCCTCTCGTTCTCGTTCCTCTCGTGTTGTTTTGATTGCAGAGATCCAGAACAGAGTTTTCACCTAGTTTTGAACAATGGCTTTTGTATGAGCAATCCCAGATTACCCTCTTCAGCATCCAGGTCTGTTAATGAGCTTTTCACACTAGTTAGAGGCCAGACCAGTGCACAGATCTATTAAATGGCACACACACTCAGAGACTTTCTACTTTTCCCACCTGTGCAGCTTTGATTAGCTTTCCTCCTTGGCTGCGTTCTCAATGGCCGAATCTCCCAGATTAAGGAAACAAATCAGAATGGAGTGGGGCGTTGGGGTTAAGTAAATCTCTGCAAGGCCTTTTTAAGTGAGCTGCGTTTTAATAGAGATCCTGTTAGAGGGTGATGAATAGAAGGCCGCACCATGCTGAACAGATGGCCACAGGAAAATTGAAAAGACGCAAGAGCACAAATCAAAGAAAGGTGCACCTCTGGGATCCTGTGGGGCCTCCCCACAAACACACACACACACACACGGGCATTGGCCTGCACTAATGTGGCTGTGTTTATGGGGCCATGACGGAGTGTTAGCGTTGGCTTTGTGGCCCCAGCTCAGACACAAAATTGTAAGGTCAGCACTGGCGTCCGTCCAGGGCCATTGAATCTGTCCATTCCCTTGTGCCACATGGCTCAGGCTGGTCATTACTTCACTGAGATTCTAGAGCCTTCCACACACACATTCTTTAACACTACAAAATTGTGCATCTACCAATAGTACATTCAGTGTTGCTTTGTTTCATTGGTTTAAAAAACAAATTTGAATAGTATATATTATTATCATTGTTTTATGATGTCATTGTTAATAATAATAATTATTATTATTATGTGTAATAATTTGTAATGTGCCATTAATAATAATTATACTTTTAATACTTAACACTTTTAAAAGTTATGCAGTACAATATCGCAGGAGAAGAAACACTTGAAAAATGAAAAACTGAGACAAACATGAGGTTATTCTAAAGTCAGTATGGTTGAATTGCATATTCGAAGGTAACCAGAAAAGGCTTTGGTTAATAAAGTGAGATTAAATACATAAAGGATTTTTCTGTCTTAACATATTTAATTATTACAGGTTTGCGGAATATTGAGTTTTCATTTCATCTTTTTTTTATATAGCGCCTCTGAACTTACTTACTTAAAGTATCTCAGATACTTTGTTTTATTTAGATGTAATATGTTACTTTACTAGTTACTTAAAAAAATAGTATTAAATGAATCATTGAAAGTTGTTTTTTAACCAGAAAAAAAGAACATTAATTATTTTAACAATAAATAATAATCAATAACTATCGATTATAACAACAATAATTATAATAGTGGTAGCACTTTAGTTTATGGTCCAATTTTCACTATTTACTAGTTTCTTATTTGCATGCATATTACAAGGACATTGGTTGTTTATTAATACTTGTAAAGCACAAGTTAATGCCTTATTCTGCATGACCATAATTATGACTGCATAATAACCATCCCTTATTCCTGCCCAATACCCAAACCTAACTGCTACTGTAGTAACTATCAATATTAGGAGTTTAATGAGGCAAAAGTTGTAGCTAATAGTTAGCTCAATAGTCAGATAGTGAGAATTGGACACTAATCTAAAGTATGACCATGATAGTATGAGTATGACCATGCGTGTCTATATATATATATATATATATATATATATATATTAGGGCTGTGCAAAAGTTAATTGCGATTAATCGCATCCAAAATAAAAGTCTGTGTTTACATAATATATTTGTGTGTGCTGTATATAATTATTTTGTATATATAAATACCTATGCATGCATGTACAGTATATATTTAAGAATTATTTGCGCTTAAATTCTGTATACATCTATAAATACATAATCTATATTATATAAATATAAATATTTTATATATGAATAACACATTTTCTTAAATGTATACATGCATGTGTGTGTATTTATATATACAAAATAATTATATACAGCACACACAAATATATTATGTAAACACAGACTTTTATTTTGGATGCGATTAATCGCAATTAACTTTTGCACAGCCCTAATATATATATATATATATATATATATAAACTCTTCAGAGAATTGCAATGTGTACTTTCATTGTTACTTCGAGTCTTCTGGTAGCACATTAACAAATCTAGTGATCTCACCATTTGACAGAAGCTACTGGCGTTGCAGAAATACCACATTTATTAGGTTTAAAATAACTTATGTAAATGATAAGATCCTTTAGTTTAGATCCTAGTCCCAAACACAAGTGTGTGATTGTGTGTGTGTGCTTGTTTTTTTTTTTGTTTGTAGTATTTCCCAGGTCGTCCGTCTGTAAAGAGTGCACTGAAGACCATGGACAACTGGTTACAACTACAGAATGGGACGGAGATCAGATACAGTGATTTGAGAGATGTGCTGGACAATGCTGTACAGGTTAGTCAAGCTTACTTGAGCAGAAAATCTTAGAAAGTGCTCTGGTTTGAATTTTTTATTTCCATTTATGACTATATTAGAAATTATAAATAAGAATTTTGACATTTGATCTAGTAAAGTAATGCAGTTATTTGAAAAGGCACCTGAATTTATCAATACTTCGACGTAAGCATTTCTCCACTTAGACTTGGGTCATGAGGTCAGTGTATTGGGATGCTGTCACTCATTTAAATTTATTAAAACATTTATTTAAACTATTTAAGCTGCTGCAAGCACAATTTCAAGCCATGACATTCAACATTTCATAAGGCTAAGACATAGTGATGATATGTTATGGTTAGATGTTCAAATTTAGGCAAAAGAGCTGTGTTTACTTAAAATGATAGTTCATCCAAAAATGAATATTCTGTCATCATTTATTCACTGCCCTGTCGTTCCAAACTGGTAAGGTGTTCAATGAAAGTCAATGGGGTACAAAACAACATTGAACTCTAGTGGCATTCATTGTGTGGACAAAAAAACACTTGACATTTCTGATGATAGAATTTTCATTTTTGGTTGAACAAGATTATATAATGCTGTCATGAGGCTCAATGCTTACATACACACACAAACATAAGGCTTGTTTGAGATGCGCCTCGCCTCGCCTGCAATGTAGTCGAGAGTAGGCGGCTGCAGTGAGGGGAGGAGTGAAAAAAGCGCAATCAAGCCGGACAGATCTAGGGTTCTCGCAGTGAATCAGACACCTGTGAGATCAAAGGCGGATATCGCGGGATTAACGGGATTCACGCTCGTGCACGTGTTGCTAATAAACTGGATGTGATTTAAGTTCTGTTGCTTTTATATAAAAATAAATAAAATGTAAATAAAACCCAAAGTACTTGTTATTTAATTACATTCCAAATAGCCTATGGTTTGTCAATCTCTTTTTTTTTCTTTAATACAGACGTGTTTTTATATAGCCTATTGTTTTAACAACAATGAAATATAACCCATATGGCACTGTCAGATAGTTTATTCACCCATAGCCTATGTATACACATAAAACATGATATCAGTTTTAAAACATTTTAAAAGTAACAATTCATCTGGTGTTCTTTTATTTTTATTTATTTTACTTTTTTATTAGAATGCAAGTTACAAACATAGCCTACCTACAAGCACCACAATTCGTGAAACAAATAGGCCTATTATACAGCGACAAATACATAAACATCAGAATAAAATTAATAATAAAATAAATAAATCAATCAAAATAAGCTTAGCTTAAATAGACAGACTTACAAACTTCATCATCTATAAAATGAGAGCTATTTTTCACTTGAACATTTTAGAGTAGGCCTAGTATATTTGAGTTACTGACTATAGCTTTCTTATTTTTAACCCGTTTAAGAGATTCACAATATAGATCAGTTTCAATTTGAAAAAAATAAATAAATAAAACATGGCCTTGATTTGGAGAATTTAGCTTAATGAATATGGAATTTACCTTCATCACTGTTGTTTAAACCAATGAGCATTAAGCTGTGTCGTCAGCAAGTCGTTTCCCATCATGCTTTTGATCAGCGCAGTCGGTGGAGAGCAACTGCGCGCGACTGCAGAATCCGACCCTTCCGCCTTGCGCTCGCGAGAGTTTTTTGACATACGTCGGCATGACATCAGAGCCAGGCGGACCGTTCTCGGACACATTTCTAACCGGCATGCATCTCGCGCTGATCACCGGTGATCGATTCTGCGCAGAATTTGCTCATCTCAAACAAGCCTATACTCTGGAGCAGTCAGTGACATCATAAGCTTTTAGCCACCCAGTCAATGAATCAATGAAGTAGGAAGGCATCCCATAAGGAAAAGGGCTGGTGTCATCAAGATCATTGCCTCTTATAGACACGCCCACCAATTAACTGCTGAGTGACTCTGCACAAGATACTGGCCAATGGGAGATCAGGATTCATTCCAAACCAGACCAAAGAGTTTAAATGTTTGATATTTGCTTTTATTTACTCATTAAATGAAATGTGATTGAGGAGCTTTCATTTCCTGTAACACTCATAGCTGCTTTAATTGCAGTATCCACCTTACTTCATTTGTGGAGTGACTGAAAGGAAAATTGATTGACTTCAATTGATTCTTGTCGTTTAAGTGAAGCACAAGTCAATTGAGACTTCATTTTTGTATGTGTGTGTGTTTTAAGACGAGCGATGCAGTGTTGCCTGAAGGTGTTCGGTGGGTGGGCTGCCAGGGATCTCAACCCCAATACCGTCGATACCCCTGTGCTGTTTGGACACTCTTCCATGTGCTCACGGTGCAGGCTAAAGAAATTGGCAGCACAGGTACTATTAATATGCACAGCGCCTCAACTGGACTACACATCAAGTTATTAACAGAATGCTCCCTTCTATTTTTAAACATTGAAACCAGTAGTCTTCCAAATGTCTTGCTCAAAGACACAATGGTGTTATGGACCTTAAAGGGATACTCCCCTTTTTTTTGGAAATAGGCTCATTTTACAACTCCCCCAGAGTTAAACAGTTGAGTTTTACCATTTTCGAATCCATTCAGCCGATTTTCTGATATTTAGAAGAATATCAGTAACCAGACAGTTTCTGGTCTCATTGACTTCCATAGTATCACTTTGTGCAACCTAACTTTACCAAGATTTAAGGTTGATTAACATATGGCAAGAGATCTGAGACCACTCCTTCATACAGAATCTCTCCAGATCCTTCAGATTCGGAGGTCTGCTTGTGGACTTTTTTTCAGCGTATCCCACAGGTTTTTAATGGGGATTGGGTCAGGGGACTGCTATATTTATGGTGGAAACCTTCATTCTGTTGTCAGTGAACTGTTCTGTTGTTCATTTTGAGATGTGCTTTGGATCATTGTCATGCTGGAAGATCCAACCACGACCCAGTTTAAGCCTCCTGACAGGCTTTGTCAGATTGTGATTTAACATCTGCAGGTATTTGATGGTACCTGATGATACCATGTATGCTGTCCAGGGTCTTTGGATAAAAATGAGCTCCACAGTATTAAAGATCCACGACCATACTTCACTGTGGGGATGAGGTATGTTTCTACATGGCTAGGTTTCTGTCCATGCCAAACCCACCTCTAGTGTTTTTCCAAAAAGATTTATTTTGGTCTCATCTGACCATAAAGCCCAGTCCCACTGAAAGATCCAGTAATGCCTGGCAAACTTCAGGTGGAGGGGTTTGATGTCAACAAAGAGTTTTTATATTGCAACTTTCCCAAACAAGTTTTGGTTGTATAGGTAACTAAAATTTTATAGTTTTGTAGACCCCAAGACATAACTAGCTTCTCAAATACTTTGATCCTTACAGGTTTTAGCATTTCTGTGGGGCCAATATAGACACTTCTTCTTCCAGGTTGATTTTAACTTCTTAATTATTGGCCAGATAGTGGAAAAGATTATTCCAACAATTTAACCATTATCATATAGCCATTTCATGATTTGTGCATCTCAACAACCTTATGTCACACATCATGACTGTATTCTCAGGTCTGTCCCATAGTGATGGATGACTATAGGAATTTGGCCTGTGTGTCACTTCATATTTAGAGCCCAGTGAAACAGGAAGTGCTTATCACTATAGTGAACTTAAAAACGCTAAAGTTTTTGGCACACATATTTTGAAGAAAACCATATTTATTTAATTTATGCCGTTTTGTTAAATTAACTTCAATTAATGGTACATTTTTGTGAATTTTTTGAAATGAAACACTACGGCAAACACAAATGGTTCACACTCAGTGTTGTTCATATTTACCAAGGATGCCAATATTTGTGGAGCCCACTGCAAGTCGCATCTGCCAAATGCACAAATGTAAATCTATTAAAAAAGTTGAAAAGGTCCATTTGGATTTCATGCTGACTTTTTATTTCAGGCTTGTAAAAAGCAACATTATCTTTCAGAAATGCAAAATGCTAAAAGAACAAATCAATGAAACATCAGTCAGGAGATGTGTCGCACAGTCTGCTTTGTTAGTCTATATTTTTTTTGTGCGGTTTCAGGCTTATGTAAATCAAAGTGGTCTAAAGAAGCTGGGACTGAATTATGTGGCTCATCTTGGCCTGTTGGTGACCTCGAGAGCTGCCATCAGCTCCCCTGTGTCACAACCTTCAAGGCCCTTTGGAGACAGATGAGCCCTCTCTATTGTGTAAGGAAGGCGGACATGCATTTGTATTAGGCTGTGTGTGTGGCCGTCTGTGCTTTCCTCAAGCATTTATGGTGCATTTACTTGAAAAACCCTTCTTGATCCAATACAAATACACACCGAAGTGTCTCATTCCAGGAAACCAGTGTGCCACTGTTATTCTTGGGCCTTGTTTTGCTGCTGGAAATGTAATTGTGAGTAGGTATAAGAGAGGGATTTGTTTAGATTATTGGAATCTGAAGGGTTAATATAAGACTTAGTGAACACAGCTTCTCCACTCACACTTAATCCAGCAGCTTACAGTGGCCGGAAGAAGAGCGGAGGGGGCATCAGCGTGTGGATGCGTGTTTGTGTTTGTGCGAGCGGTTGGTGGGGGGTCATGTAACCTGCAGATGGAAGGCCAGGGATGGGGTGTCCATCTGTCCACTGGCAATGCTCTGGATTATGTCCACCAGCTAAAGACAGAAGAAAGAAGTGCACTAAATGCAACACTAACCTAACTTAGAGAGCATTCGGGGTGAGAACTGACCTGTCTCACTTCTGGTACCTGCACGGACTTGTCCTCAGAATGTGTTGTGTTTGACAGAATAGATGCCTAGGAATTAGTGTAGGGTAATCTGGGATCCGGAGAGAGGTCTGAATTAACAGGTTAAATGTTAAAACTAACATTTTACAGGAGAGGATCATATGCTATATTTTGTATAATTTATTTTTTAAATGTAAAATTATATAGTATGTTGTTATGAAGCTTATTATGAGAAATGATGCCTTGTAAGCAATATACGTAATTTAATAATATCGTAAAAAATTTTATTTTTTTATATCAGTTGCTATTATTATTGTTGTTGTTTTTTGTTATGAAATATAATATTGATATATTATAATTAGTGCTGTCAATTGATTACCAAATGAACTAGAAAAAATATTAAAATATAAAATATTAATGTAAGCTTTTAATAATGTAGTAATTTCACATTTAATCTCCAAATTAATGTAGAAACAACATGAAGACAGTATATATTAAATTTTTTTTTTCTTCTAATTTTAAACATTTTTAAAAGCTATCAATTTTACCATTTATTAGGCTTCAAAAAATATAACCACTTTTAACAACTGTGCCCTCAGCAATTCAATAGTTATCAAACAGTCTGCACTGCATAAATTATAAATGAAATATAGATGAATCAATATTAAATGCTACAAAAGTTCTTTAGTCAAGAGCAGTGAGTAGTTTTCTCGGTTCTCTTCGTTCTTTCATTAACATTAATGACAGACATCAGTGGCTGCTGTCCCTTTAAAAACAGCCACTGCCACACATCCCATTTTCTCACAACTCTTTGTTCATTTAAGATTTTATTTAACTCATTTAAGAGTGCTCTTATGAGGACACTCGACAAAACTGACATTTTGACATAATTGTGCGTGTTATTGTTCAGTCAAGCGTGAAAGAGAACTCGATTCTGGTGCGCTGTCTGTGCCCACAATACTGACACCATCCTTTCTGTGTGTTTGTCGCATATAGACAGGACATTCACAGACAGTGGGTTTTCTTTTGTTTTGAATGGTTTAAAATCATTTGCACGAATAAGAGCATGATCTTATAATGTTACGATAGCCAAAGGATGCCGGGAAAAATGCAGAAAAAAAAAAGAATCGCATTCATTAATGCAGTAACGTTGTTATCATATAAATGAAGAGTTCAGATGCAAAAGCCTCTAAGTGCCATTTGAAATGTTCTTCTAGAATGACCATTTTTATCAAGCTCGTATATTTAAGTTCAGTGATTTCACTTAAATGGCAATGATGATTACCTTTTAATTGTTATTTAAGTGAAATTACTGAACTTAAATATACAAGCTTGATCAAAATCATCATTCAAGAAGAAAATTTCAAATGACATTTAGAGGCTTTTGCATCTGAACTCTTCAAATATAAATGTTTCATGCACCCAAAGTTGGTAATGCCTCTTTTGCAGTCACACTTTCATAATTTTTTAACTTCCTCTTTTACTGTCTCTTTTTGTCCATTTCTTCTTTTCTTCTCTTTCTGTCTCTTGATCTCAGACCCTCAGGTAGTGTTGCAGGCGATAAGAGGTTATGTCAGCAGTTTTTTTGGATGCAGGACCTGTGCAACTCACTTTGAGAGTATGGCCCAGGAGAGCATGGATCAAGTGAACTCGCTGTCTCACGCTGTCCTCTGGCTGTGGTCTCACCACAACCAGGTCAACAACCGCCTGGCAGGTCAGTATTTTCAGTGTAAACAAATGTCAAGTGTTAAACATTAACGGTACAGTGGGGTCCCAAAAAGAATTTTGGACAGTGTTTTGAAATTTATTTCAACTTAAAATTAGAAAACACACGTTAAAATTTAATACCCTGCATCTGAACCATCGCAGTCAGTGTGTGTCAGTCAGTTTCCCTCAAGTTCACACAGCAGAGTAACAATAGGTGTCATTCATCAAAATTAACTATGGACATGCACACGTGAGCAGAAAGTGTCACAATGCTTTTTATCTTCATTTTGAACAGTATATCTATCAGCTATCATTTCATAATTCAAAACTTTTTTTTGACCGGTTTATTTGTAATATTTCTACTTCTAATACATTGGCTTTTAAGTGTGTACAAATAATCTTTAACCAAGGATATTATTCAGTCCTGTCACTCCTGACCATAATATAGAGCAGGAGAAAAGTCCAGTCGTTTTTTTGGGTGGATTTTCTCTCTCCAGAGCACCAGTGCAGCTTCTTGCCTTTAAATCCCTTTAATTCGACGATCCTCTGGGCAGACACCAGCTGTCCTCTTCTCTTCTATCCGTCTATCTCTCTTTTTCTCTATCCCTCCACTTAAATACATCCTTTTTTCTTTTTCTCACACCTTATATTTTTCATTTTATCTAGTTATTTTATGTCACTTTGAATAAAAAGGGTCTTCTGAATTAATTAATTTAAATCTAAATGTTTTATTTTATTTTGAAGTAATACTCGTTTATTTTTCTGATACGAACATTATTACCTTACAGTCTTAATAAGAATCCACTAATAAAAGTGACATTTAATAAATACAAATCTTAGTTCTCTCTCTGACAACTTGTTGTCCAGAAGCGCTATAAAGGGAGTTATTTGCCTCTCTTCACACTTGCTTAATTCATTTGTTTGTCCTCTTTTGATGTCTCCTGCCTCTTTAGCGTCTGTTCCGTTTTACCAGCCATGAAGTCATGAATAATTGGACAAAAGTCCCCCCCCATGCGTGTCCCCCTATTGCTCTTCTGTGTCTCTGGGTCCCCTGTCACTTCTGCTGATTAGGTCTTACTGTCTCTTGTGTCCCGGGAGAGTCGTTCCTGCCGCTTGACAATTGATACTGCAACAGTGTCTCCTGCCTGGGGCACGCGGCCCTCTATTCCCCAGACGCCTGGGACAGCAGGTGGCACACGCCACGCCGCCAGCATCAAGCCTTCCTCTGCTTTGTAATCTCTGGCCCAAGTGGCTAACTCAGAGTGTGTGTGAGGTGGGTGGGACTCCATTCCCCCCCTAATACCCCTCCTCCTCAGCCTCCCACCCTCCAACACCCTTTATTTCTCTCGGTCCCCAAGCGGGACCCTCCTTCTACTCCTAATCGTGAGCCTCTTTAGTAGTTCCCTCCCGTCTCGCACACAAACACGCAGCTAACCAGGCATGAATAGTGGCCTATTAGTATCACTGCTGCACAATTAATTTAACTGGCATAAAGGCCCAAGCAACAGGCCTCAGCCCACTTGTCGAGGGGGAGACGTCTACAGAAGGAAGACAAATACGTTTCATGGTATATTGCATTGTGACGCATATTATTCGCATACTACAAAATTAGTAGGAAATGAGTCATCATGCTTCTTGTTTCCTTTCTCTTCCTATGTCTCTCCAAGTTTCTATGGTTCTTATGAAAATCCCAAGAAGAGGTTTAGCCTATGCAGTGTGTTTGTTTTGCGTTTGTTTAGTAAGTCCTCCAATCCACCCTTCATCTGAACACAGGAGCGCTGCCCACCCATCGGCACTCACATTCACTCATGCTTACCGGAACTGTCCTGCAGTGCGTGACGACTCCTTATCCCCATTCACACGCATGAATATTAATGCACCGCCCCAGCAAGCTTTCGTATCAATGTTAACAGTGCTACAGCTGAAGGCCTCTATGATTAAAAGTAAGATCTTCATAGGCATTGCATCACATCACAGCCAGAAATGAGTGCTGTCACAGTGCGAGGCATAAAGACCCCTGGGTTCCTCTAGACGCATAGTAAAATTGATGTATCTCTTATGTAAAGTGCGGTATGCAGAGTACGTCCACACATGCATATATACATCAGATTAATCTACGTAAGAGATGGGGGAGGGATGTAAACGAACTGCTGCTGCCACCTCTTGTAGTGTCCTGGCCACCCCCTGACATCCGCCACAAGCAATTTATTAGTGGATGCCTCCGTCCGGGTGGCTTATGGGGGGAGGGAGGAAAAGAAAACATCTGACGGGGAAAAAAAAAATAGTAATTCATTAGAGGGAGAGCTGCAGCCCAGAGGTGCTGGCTTTCATATTCAATTTGGAGATGGTGGCATGTTCATAGGGGGTGTGAAGAGAAGAGGCTGGTGCGTGTGCATGTGGATGGGGAGGGGTGTGTTGTTCACCCCAACCTCATCTATTATCTTCACGATCCTCCCTCTGGGAGAGCCCACAGGTCTATTGATCATGTCTTTAGACCTGTCACACACACACACATGGTTCTTACAACACCTCAAGGTTAGGCAAAATTCAGAATTTTGAATGACAGGAAGAAATTAAACAAAGTCACTCAACCATTTTTTCACCTGGTTTTGCTATATTTTGACTAATTAATCCAGATGTCTTTCTGATATACCGGATTAATTTTGTTATGAACTAATTCAATCCAAAATTATTGTTTTCAGATACTTTTATTAAACGAAATATTGATTTGAAATTAATGATCATATTAGGTAAATCAGAAAATTCTGGGAAATGAAGTGTTATTGGTATATGTTAAGCTGTCAACTAACATAATTGATTTAATTTGGGCTTTTCGCACTACTTAACCCTAAGTTAGATCATTTGTCTTATTAACCTGGGTTAAAGCCAGTTTTAACCTTGGGTTAAGCAATGTTTGTCACTTGTAAATTTGGATTAACAGGTGACTCCCATGAAAACACGTCCAGGTCACATTAAAATATAAATAAATAATGTATTTAAAATAAATATTATATATAAATGAAGCCATGGGAAATTATATGGAATTATTTTCACAACAATTGAGCATGTTTCACCCTCAAATTCTTATTGTTTTAATGCATGCAGACAATATATGTTTGAGTTTTTTTTTTAAATGTCCATTGTTAATAATTCTTCTCATTTGTTGCTTATTTAATAGTTTTATTTATTGTGTTAGAAAAATAATAGTTTTTTTAGTATTTATAGTAAAAATAATAGTTTTTTAATAGTATTTTTAAAACAGGATAAATTAAATGTTTTACAATTTACATGACATGTTGTTTTTTAATACACTAATGAGATTTCTTGTTAAAATAGGCTTCAAGAATTACTTTGAATTAATAATTTCAGGTATGAGAGATTTTGTAGTTCGTTGTCTCCTCTTTTGATTTAAGGTTGATTTGGTTTATGAAACTCCTCTCTTCACTGTTTATGAATTATGAAACTCCATTTATGATGGCTGTTTTTCCTGATCTCACACAGGAGAATTGAGTGAGGACCCCCATTTCCCTAAGATTCAGTGGCCGCCTCCAGAGCTGTGTCCTAGCTGTCATGGTGTAAAGAGGACCGGTGAGCACCACTGGAACCAAGAGCAGGTGCTGAACTTCCTCCGAAACTACTTTTCTGCAGATCACATTCTGATGGACTACCTGCAGGACGAGACCCAGGCTCTCATCCATCAGAGGAATCGACTTGCGGCCGCTCGGATGGAGAATGAAGCCGGGCGTGGGTTGGAACGGAAAACTCGAGAGGTTCTCGAAAACCACCCTGCCGAAGAGCCTCAAGAAGAGGAGCAGGAGGAGGAGGAGGAGGAAGAGGAAGAGCCAGCACTGGAGGAGCAGGCCGGTGAGCCGTACCCTGCGGGGCTGGAGGGAATGGGGGTGGCCGGAGAAGACCCAACTGATAACCAGGCACCGTGGGAGAAGCCGAAGCGGCCCCAGTCCCAACACAAGCCAAGAATTGTGGGATTGAAACTACGGGAGCGCCAGGAGGACATAGTAGACCTGGATTCCTTTGTAAGCCAACACTATAAAGCCAAAGCCCTTCAAGCTGCAGCCATGTCTGGCGTGGTGCGACGGAGGAGTCTGCAAAAGAAGGAGGATGCAGAAGACCTCCAGCTCGAGGGAGGTTGGAGGGTGAAGCGAGACCTGGGAAGCCAGGAAGAGAACCTCTGGATAGAAGCGTTGCCCAGACCCCAAAGCAAGCGCTGGATGTCCCTGCTCAGCGTGGGATTCTCCAGGCTGGATGTGAGCCTGTGTGTCCTGCTGTACCTCCTCTCCACCATGTGTCTGCTCGCCATGTACCTGTATTTTAAAATGAGGATAAAGCTGCGGCGGGCTAAATTGTCTCTGGCCTAGAGCATCGCTCCAGCGTAAACTTTTACTTCCAGCAAGGACGACCAAATCTCACAAGCTGTGGCTACTAGAGAACTTGACTGTTTCAGGGCCAAAGTAACGATGCACAGAAATTGAGAGATTACAAAGTATTGTTTTTGATTTTATGGTAATTAAGAGGATAATACGGAAAAATGCCAACGTGTCATTTTACGGACCCCGCACTTGTCCATGAAGGGCTGCTTGTGGTCTGAATTTTACATTTTTTTTACTTCATCTTGCATTTTTGTAATTGTAATGAATGTCTTTAATTTGTTTTTATATGACCACTCAAAGAAATCTGCAGCACGCATAATTTCAAAAAGGACCAACCATTTTGTATAATATTCTTGAAACTTTAAAATTTAGATTTATGAAATATTTTAGCTCAAAAACTGCATTTTTAACATGCCCACTTGCCATTTAGTAAAATAGTTTCTAAATGTATATATACAGTATATTGTTTCGAAATTGGAATAGCTCTATGATTGTGGTTATAATGAAAATACACCCCTAGATCTGCATGCGTTTGGTTTAAACCATTAATTTTGTCATGATCTCACTGCCTGTTTGTTCATTCACTGTGATCAAATATTTGATTTTTTTTTTCTCTTCACAAAAATATTGTAAGATTTGTGTATTGCAGAGCAACTCTACAACAAGTACCTGAAACGATCAGGATCACCGAGATTATGGTTTGTGCCTGTGTTAGGTAAGCAAGTGCTTTGCTGGGTAAAATCTGATTAAAACTTTTATTTTATTTCTAAAAACATCTTGTATCTTTTTTAAACTGTTTAAAATCACTCTTATTTTCTGCCATGGTATTAGATACTTTTCTTTTTTTTTTTAAAGCCATGTTAACATAACATTTCCAGTGTCTTTAAAACTTATAGTTAGTGACTAATCCTACTGTAGACAGTCAGTTGGATAAGTAACGGCTGGAATACACTACACAACCATTTTCCAGATTTTTGCAGTCTGGAGTCAATCCTAATTGCAGATTTTGGGCAGTCTGAGTGGACAGATTTCATGTAGTGTATGTTGGCAACTACAGTTTTAGAACACATTGTTTTCATTTGTTTAATCACATCATCCCCAGTTTTGCTGTGTAACCATTTACAAAGTCGGCTAGTGTTCGGTGACAAATGTTCAGAATTGAATCTTGGAGTGTATTCCAGCCATTCCTGAAGATTTTGCTCATTTCTCAATCAAACGCTATAAACTTGACTGTGAGAATAACCGTTCGTGATCATAGCCTTTCCAAAGCCTGAGCATCATTCACCCTCTCAGTGTTGTGTGTGTTTGTCTCAATGGATAGATCATGTGTTGCGTTTAAGTGTGTCTTGGGTGAGGAGGAGTGGTCGGGGAAGGGGTGAGCTGACCCGTGGGTGGAAGAACTAGCCTGTTGCCATCTGGTCTGTTTTGCTAGCTAAATCCTAACAATTTCATTGGGATTATAGCAAGTGAGTAATCCTGCTTTCCTTTGGGTCTGCGGGAGATTACCACGGGGATTAGCCCCCACCCGATAATAAACTTTATTAAAACGCAATCGGCTTTCAAGGCCTCTTCCCTCACACACTTGGAAGTTGGCTGTGGCCGGGAGGGGGTGGCGACCCCAAGGAGAGAGGATCTGAGGAGGAACACTGGAAGACAAGGGTTTGAAGTGTTCCAGATTACAGGCTCATCTGAAGGGCACCGTCGCTTGATCGTGAGCTTATGGGTTTTCGTGGAAATCTGAGTGCTGCCCTTTTGTCCCACATCTCTGTTTGCTTGATCTATTTGTTTTTCCCCTTTACTAGATGCATTATGCGAATCTTTGGGTTGACGTGTTGAGCGTTTAAAAATATGGTGACTACGTTAAAAAGAAAAGCTCTGAGTTTCAAGGCTCCTGCAAAGGACAAAGAGGATGAGTATAGATCACATGACCTTTTTTGAACTTATTTGCTACATTTAAAGTGACAATTCCCCCCCAAAATCCTCATTAAAGGGATAGTTCACCCAAAAATGTAAATTCTCTCATCTTTTACTTGCCCTCATTCTCTGATGTATGACTTTCTTTCTTAAGATAAACACACTTTTTTTCTTTTTCTTTAGGAAAATAATCCATCTCTGAGTCCATTTAATGCTACTGAATGGCTGCCACTAATTTGATGCTTGAAAGAAAGTCATATACATCAGGGATGGCGTGAGGGTGAGTGAATGATGAGAGAATTTTCATTTTTCCATGAACTACCCCTTTAATTTATTCCAAGCCTGTATGACTGACTGACTTACTGTGAAACACAAGATATTTTGAAGTTTTAAAGAATCCAAACATCATTCACAGAAAAAAAGTTGATGCCACACAGTAAAAAACATTGTTGGTTTAACTTAAAAAAATAAGTAACCTGGTTGCCTTAAAAGTTCATTGCAATGGAAAAATTGAGTTAATACAATGAAGGAAACTGATTTAATCATCAGAAACTCAAAATATTATGTTATCTGAACTACATAAATTATCCAAGTTGATTTGACAAAAGAAAAAATGTTGTGATTACAAATCGCGAAAATATTTCAACTTGGATGTTTAGATTATATTTAACTGACTTGTAAAACTGTAAAACGTAAAAAAAAAATAGTTGAGTCTTGCATCACTTTTTTTAACTTATTTTAAAGCAATGTAAAAACATATGCTGTCATAACTTATTGATCATATAATTGGATTCCATCGACTTTCATTGTATGGACTAAAAAACATATCTAAATGTCTTCTTTGAACAGAGAAATGTGCTATTACTTTTTCTAGGTGATTGGAGATCTAATTTTTGCCCAGGAGATTCAATCATCCAGATGGAAGTTGAAAGACGGACATGTGACATGTAGAGATCGGAGTAACACAGAGACTAAGTAAGCAAGGGTTAGTAAGCAACGCTCTAAAAAAACATGTAGTACACCCTCGCAACCACAAACAGCCTGGCATGGCAGCGAGTATTGCACCGGAAAAAGTGTTTTTTAGTCACCAAAACTTTAATTAAATTTAAAATGAATGTACTTTGTATTTAATCTGAACATTTAAATGATCATTTTAAACTTATCGTTATACATCCCAGCAAATTTGCCAGCATGTTGGTGAGAAGTACATACTATAGTCATGGATTTCCTATCCAATCTTGCTAGTGTCTCTATGTACAAATCAGACTGTATAACTGTGAAGACATAATACTGTGTTCCCTGCCAGACTTAAGTGAGGGACCTGTTTGTATGCTATGAGAACAATGGAACAAAAGATACCTCCCCAGCCCCCAACCAAAAGCGTCAGAAAGCAAGGGTAAAACATCACCTTGTGTTGCTGGTGTTGTGTTCCATAAATTAGACAATGCTGGGTTTTATTGCTGAGGCCCTCCAACATGTACTTTGCGTGTTTATGGTCGATCGCATACTGGTATTAAAATGCTGGACAGGTTTGATACCTCTGCTGTCATACCACTCCGATTTTAATAATACAATAAAGCTTCTGCCATAGACATACACAGGGTGTGTGAGTGTGTATACACACTGAGAGTGAATTAATTCTGTGAAGAGAGGAAAAGGGTTAATATATGGTTTCGTTATTGTAGCTCATTTAACTCTGACCCCTGGATGTTACATTTATCCCTAAAGCAGAAGCCAAACAGGTCAGATTAATCTCATTTTACTACCGCCATTCCTCCCCATGTCCATAATGCATATTTTGAGATGCAGCCCTCATTCTTAGCTTTAATGTGGTCAGTCAGAATGAACAGATGGACTGCTGACAGGTGAGAGGTGACACGGCATGCTAAACCACTATAAGAAAACAAGACATTACTATAATTATATATATATATATATATACACACACACACTGAATCCATGTGATGAGAATTTTGATGTAAGCCCCCAAATCTGGTTAAAATGTTCAATGATAAAAAAGAGATTACATTGTATTGTCTGGGCTTTAAAGGTTAAATTATATTTAAAGGGTTCTTCGTATATCCTTTTGCTTTGGTAGTGTTTATTTTGAAACGAACAAGAGCAATTTTCCCCGTACTACATAAACAAGGAAATGTGGATATTTAATTTCAAATCCATATGCATTAATAGTAATGCGGTCTTCTCTTTACTGTTGTGATGGCTTTGGAACATGGATGCAGCAGGTATTCGTTCCCATCCAGACACTGTAACAACATCAGTAAGGTCAGACAGTGATGTTAGGTGATGGGGTCTGACTCGCATTCATCGTTACAATTGATCGTCAAGGGTTTCAGCTCTGGTCTTTGTGAAGGTCAGGCAAGTTTTGCTCAGTAAATCATCTCTTTATGAACCTTGCTTTGCGCACAGGGACACCGTGCTGCTGGAACAGAATAGGTACGCTCCATTCAGATGCACCTATTATTGTCCTTTGCTCCAATGTCATATGAAAGTAAAGTTTTTTTTAAGATAAATTAAGGTTTTAAACATGCACCTGTGAAACAGTCCTTAAAGGCATAGTTCACTTTGAAATCAATTTTTGGTATGTTTTAGCTTACCTCAAGGGCTTCCAAGATGTAGGTGTCTTTGTTTCCGCAGTAGTTTAAATTTTGATATTTTTATGTCAAACCATTTTTGTCTGTCAGTCATATAATGGAGGTCTATGGTCACCACCTCAAAGAGCATGCTCAGAGAAGTCCAAATTAAACATGATTTAATGACTCGTACATGTGAGTACACATTGATGGCCCAAGACACGAAACGAGCGGTTTGCATGAGAAAACGAACAGTATTTATATAATTTTTACCCCGCTACCACAGCCATAAAGCACCCGCGCCCTCAGATCACTTGTGGTTGTGGTTACACTTGTGGTTACAAGAGGTCAAAAAGGATATAAATACTGTTCGTTTTCTGTTTCGTGTCTCAGGCCATCATCGTGTACTTACTTTTACGAGTCATTAAATCTCGTTAATTTGGACTTCTCTGTGCATGCTCTTTAAGGTGGTGACCATAGACCTCCATTGACTGATAGACAGGAACGGTTTGACCTAAAAATATCAAAATTGAAACTACTGCGGAAACAAAGACAACTACATCTTGTATGCCCTTGAGGTAAGCTAAAACATACCAAAAATTAATTTCAAAGTGAACTATCCCTTTAAGACAGCAATTGTCTACCGAATGTAAACTGTTAAAGTCACAGTTCCAATAACTCAGGACACCAAAGAGGCAATTCTACTGGCACTGAAAAACACCAGGAGGAAGATGCATAAGTGCCATAGTCCTTCTGCAGGAGGCATGAGGTCTGCAGATGTGAACAGAGCAATAAACTGCAATATTCATAATGTAAGGATCTCCATGCCCTTCATAAACCGACTGGAGAATAGGGTTGTGAAGGTCGTCTGAGATCAGCAGAAGGCCAAGCTCCTTCCTGAAAGCCACCAATCTTCTATAGGACAGGCAAGATGATGTCAATAAGATGAGTTTGGATGCCTTCCCAAGAATGTCCATCAACATGCGTTAATGAAGCAGAATGAACGGCCTTGTCAGCAAACACCGGAAATGTAATCTCCATGAAGATGCTTCAAAGATGTTCATCAGTGTCGTTTAAGCAATTACTTATTACCAGCTAAATGCCCCTCTCTTTTACCCCCATCTGTCTTGGACGAGACATCTCAACTCAAGATTTTGTAAATCGTTTTATTTGTATGAACTACAAACGTGTTGCAACACATATTAAGCTCAATGTAAGTTATTACGATAACAATTACAAGGGGTATTCATGCTATCAAAACACAAACAAACAATTAGGCCTGTGTCCATTAGTATTATTCAGTGCTTATCTAATTAAACTATTAGATGTGCACTTTAATTTAAAGCATTTTCTTCAATTGAATAACACAATAAAAATCATGCATAAGTTTAGAATCATTATGCTTCATGGGAGCCCGCTTAAATACACATAAATAAAGGTATCGATTGCTGAAGCAAGTAAAAACATTACAGGGGATCCTTCATTGTTTAATGGTATAAGCTTAAGGTGAAACACCGTCACCTTTAATTGAATTTCTAACCTAAGCAGGATCTACCCCTTAGCCAATTATAATGCATTAGACAATTATAATGCATTATTCCTGACCTGGTGTGCAATGGCCAGCCATCACTGTGTTATATGCTTCACTCTTTAAGAGTTTTGCATGCTGAAGGTTCACCTTTAAACGTATTTGTATATGGTATTGTGCATTGTATATTGCATATTGAATGTATATTTTGTTATATCATGTACGTATACCTGACTGATATGGCATAGTAACTGTGATTTTTGAAGAAGCCCACCGTAGTAAATATCTCCTAAGTGTAACTTACTCAACCTGAATTCAGATTCTGATTAAACAATGCCGAACCTCGTATCTCAACTAATTACGTAAATGGACAGGACCTGTCAAGAGACAATAACTATTCCCTAATAGAATTTGCCCCCAAGTGCAATTTAATTTCCACTGTTGCCCTCTCTTGAGGTCTCTTCATCTCTTTCTTTCTTTCCTTTGCAGGGAAAATGGGGGGAACGGCTTCTGACATTGATGTTCCAGCCTTTATTTACTCTTTACGCGGAATAAAAAGCAGCAGACTGAGGTAGACAGGTAAAACGTATCTATCTTTGTCTTAGTATTTGTTTGTATTTGTGAGCCGAAAGCTGCATGGACTTCCTGTGTGCTCGCACGAGCGCTGTCCAGCTCGCGAGGTGCTGAAATGAACATGCCACGCGACTGGCGGTAGGTTTGCATGACGTGATGTGCTTATTTAAGCGCGCGAACGTTGTTTCTTTTCGTTTCCTATTTAAATTTGATTTGTTTGACACATTTTTGAGCATGACTGTTTTAAATGTGTGTAAATTAACAAAAAACAAAACAAAACAAAAAACAGCATTTGTCATGTCGACTGTAGGCTATAGGGAGACTATAAGAAGTAGCCAATTTTTTTTTTCACGCTATAAATCTTACACTTTGATATGTTATTATTTACTTTGATATTATATGAGATTGGCAACAATTAGCCTACACTAAAGTACAAACAGCGCTGTTGCCAGAACATGGCTCACTGACACTAACAAACATTTTAAGACATTGTGTGTTAATTAACTTGTTCAAAATAATTGTGTCATCCCTCATTTCTATTTCAATAATGTCATTTCATTCTAAATATATTTTAATTAAAATGTTAAATTTTTATTTAAAACAAGTAGAAACAAGTGTGACACATTCCATTATCCCATTTTCTAATATTTATAAAAGTACAGTCTGGTCAATATTTTTATTTCATTTTTAAACGTAGATTTATAGAAGTTTATTTAGTTGATTTTATATTTAAAATTAATCTGCTGACTTGTAAACCAGACGTAGCCTAATAAAATATTTTGATTTTATTTCTTTCTCTCTCTCTCTCTCTCTCTCTCTCTCGCTCTCTCTCTCTCTCTCTCTCTCTCTCTCTCTCTCTCTCTATATATATATATATATATATATATATATATATATATATATATATGATAATTTAGTTAATCCAGAATTGTGTGTTACAACACTCTTCGTTTTACATGCACTAGTCTAATCTAAACGCTTTAGGGTTGCTTTATTTGATTATAATGATGTAAAGCGTTACTTAATGATCCTGATTTTATTTTCATCTGAAATTAATCTGAAATTTATCTGAACACTGTTTTGAATAGTAGCTCCAGTTGTAAAGTTCCCATTAATTTGTCCAAATACGCTCATGGAGAGAAGACTGCACGGCTGAAATCTGATCTATTGCTGTTCGCGTGCAGAGACCTGTATTTTACTAATATGATGGAGCAGCAGCTCGTGGTGTCAGAATGCGGATACTGTGAAATACTGGCAGTAATTAGAGGTGCTCGGGGTCAGCGGGAGTCGCACCCTTTCGCTGAATTATAGTGCACAGGTCTCTCGTTGTTCGGACAGGTGCCCTTTAGTGCATTTTATAGTGACTTAAACTGACTTTGAGATGCAAAATAACTGCGCGCGCGCACCACGCGGATTTAATCGTGTGTCAAAACATTGGCACTGTAAGAGCATTTGCCCCCCTGTTCTGTTTAAATAAGACTAAATTCACATTTTCCTTTGACCATCAGCGTAATCGAATAATCTGCATAAACACTCCAGGCCATAATCAAAATGAAAATCAAAAGCGTGTCCCGGGATAATTCCCATGTCCACCATTGGCCCATGAAGAGGGAATCTGGTGAAGCTCGAGGGCTGCTGCTGTTTGCCACCATTTAATCAGCTTGATGATCACTTTCATTCAACTAAATTACACTGGAGCCATTAAGCAAACTGTGGACGGGGTTGTGTTGTTTAAAACTTGAAATAATCTGACTTTGATGATATCCACGTCTTATTTACATATCTCTGTAATCTCCCCATGATTTATATAGCCTATAGTTTTGCTGTATTTTACAATTAGGGAATTGAAATAGCATTCGCTGTGTATATAAATGAGAGGATTTTATCTGTATTATAGGATGTTACATTGTGTTTCTCCAGTCTCGAATTGTGAGCATTTTAGATTGATATTGATTTTATTATTAGTGTTCTGAAATTGGACAGTAACTAGTTTCAACGAGACTGTCCAGTAAACGGAGAGATTTATCAGTCATTTAAGCGTGGTGTGATGTAGGTGGAATTGATAATGCTCTCCCAATAGAATAGAATAGTGAAACTAGTAAATGATCAGTACGAATTATTATTTTTAAAGCTTTTTTAAAGCTCACCTTTCTTTTAGGCTAAATAATTACGCTAAATATAAGATAGAATTAATTTATAAATATTATTTAAATAACAAATAATGTTTAATGTGTTGTGAATTTCTATTTAGCAAGAGGAAACTGTAGTTGTATCCACAGAGTTTGTTCTTTTAGTGTATTCGCATCTCACAGAGCTTCCAGCACATGTGGCCTGATATAAACAATAGGCTTTGGCTTTGAAGTTTTTTTTAAGGATGAGGGCGAGAGGAGTGAGGTAGGCTAAGAAGAGAGACGTAAAGACATACGTGATACAGGCTACGTAGAAAAGCAGCGAGACTGACGATGATGAGACTGACTGCTCCATTGTGAAGCTTGTTTTCATGAGCTCGCGAGCGCGCACACACACACACACACACACACACACACACACACACGGCGCATTATAGTGTCCATGAAGAGAATTGGAAGTGAAGATTGAGTTCATCTCACTTGAACCCCGCTCTCTCCGGAGGAAGAAAAGCTCGAATGAAATGATTCCTGTCAGGTTTGACTGTGTCGAGACGGCTGATAAACAACGTAAAAGCTCTCTTGAGTTTGTATTTTTAGCAAACGTTTTCCAGGCACTATTGAGAGTTTTTGTCCCATTGAACTCGTCAGGTCAACAGGACAAAATAATGAGAGCTAATATGAGACATTTTAAGCGCAAATGTAATATAGCTGTAATAAAAGAGAGAAACTTTTAAATAAAATGTAAACTAATTTAATAGTGCGCATGAACTTATAGACAAATTGCCTGCATTGTTAACATTTTCTCAGAACGTATGAGAGAATAGCCTAATTCATAATTGTAATTCATTATAAGGTAATTTATACTTTTTTTCACTTTACAATATCAGTCAAAATGTATGCTATTATCTTTTAAAATATTTTACAACTTTAATTCAAAATATATATTGCCAAGGCAAGGCTATATGATAAGGTAACTTAGGCTACAGGTAGACCCAATAATCAGGGTTTTGCCTAGCATTTTACTTATTTTTTATTATGAATAATATTTACATTCTTATTCCACACATTCCAGAACACCCCCATAGCCAACATGTAGGCTACTCGAGGCGATTGCATATTCCTAGACATCCACTAAATAGCAACCCTGAAATAAACCACGTTTTAAATATTCACGTAGGTCTAATATTTACGTGACTTGTTTGACTCACCCCTGACAGGTCTCAAAAGGGTTTAAAAACACTTCAGATTCTGACGTTTCGGTAGCGGCCCTGTTTTATCGTCATCACTTCCTTATCGCTTTTTCGACTTACCTGAGAGCGCGAGGCGCACAAGTTCCCGCCTCTCTTGCGCCCGTCCACGCCTCCCATTGGCCCCCCGGGGGAGTGACGTCAGGGCCGCCCCTGCAGTGTGAATGAATCAAGTGGTTTGTGTGACACACAGCGAAAGAACGCACGAGCCCGAACTCACGCGCGAGCGCCCGACTATTTCACGAGGATAACCACAGGAGCGAGGACTGTAAAAGGACGCTATCCGGGGAGAAAAATTATTTAATGCACCTCTGAGATTCTCAGACCTCTGCGAGCGTGTGCATGTGCGCGTTTTATCAGACTGGATGAAAATGATGCAAAGTGCGGCTGTGTTGCCCGGCGAGAGCGCGGTGAAGGGTCTGCCGGACATCCTCGGAGTGCCACTGCAACGTAAGGGATTTTTCTTCTGCTTATATTGATTAGTTAATCAGAGAATTGGCAGGCCTCCTCCGGGCGTCTGCAGGCCACCACTGTGGAATAACATGTGGCTTTTAATTAAACTCCACTGGGGAATCATAAGTGAGCCACCGGGACTAACTGGGTGGTACAATTAAATCAGACGACTTTTAAGTGTAAATAGTATTAACTGTATATGTCATAAATTCTGATTTAATCTCTAGCATTAGTTCCCAAATATTATTTTCTGATGATAGCTAATAAACGTTCTTCTTGAATCTGTTCATAACTGAGCTCTGTAACGCATAAAAATGTGTCTTGTGTAAATGCAATGCTTTATAATATAAAAGAAAAATGAAACCCAGCCTGATTGCATATTGGTCAGACAAATTTTAGATGGCACAGAATATTAGGCTGCATGTTCTATATATTGCACCTCTTAATATAGGCTATAGAACAGGCAAATAAGACGGATAGAAAAAATATGTACGCCGATTTCTCTATAATCCAGTGGTCAAATGGAGCAGAGTGCATTTCATGTTATTTGTTTAAATAAAACAGAGATTATAAAACCATCTAGATTCACATGAACATATATTAATGTCATGGCATTTGGCATTTTATATTATCTTCGCATCTGGTCTTTATCAGTCGCAAATTAATCTGTGTTAGGCCTGTATAATCTGATCTAACAATCAAGATGGAGTTTGAATTGGATAAATTGCTGACCTAATTATTCACAGGCGAGCTTCAGAAATGTACAGATGGACATCATCTTGTTTAGGCCAGACTTGCTTTATGCAATTGTCTATTGGAAAGAAGAGAACGCATTCACTTCGACTTTTAGTCATCAAAAGGCGTACGTAATAAAACAATAATGGACAAATAACTGAGTGAACAAGAGAAGAAAATCCTGGAAAATTAACTTTTTTTTTTTTAGCCAACAGAATGGCCAGAGGTTAAGTAGGCAATAGGTCTATCAGTGCAGGCGAATGCCTAATTTCATTAAATGATAGATTAAAAGATACTGCTACTCAGCCTCCCGAATAAATGATGGATTAAGTGAGGATTATTTTAAGAATAATCTGTTCTTGCGGTATGGATCTAAATATTATTCTAATTCACAGGGTGCTTTCAAAACAACATATGGATAATTAAAACAGAAAAAAGAAGCCTGCAAAAAAACGAGATCTAAAAGAGAATGCATTGAATGAAAAAAAAATTAAATCAGTAATATCAGACGAAACGAGTGAGTTAATTGGTAGCCTATATCTCAGATGCACACGTTCATGTTAAAGAAAGACCTGCCATGGCAGCCATCTTTTAATTGAATGGCTAATCAAATACATCCTTGGAGTAAATGAGCGTTAAAAGCTGAAGGCGGGTGAATAAGTGAAGCTGCACCGGGCGGGAGCTGTTCCTTCAGCACCACTCGCTCCGGACACACTCGTTCCTGAAACTATCACTTATTTTGTTTAGGCTACAAAATACAATAGGCCTACTGTAAAATTCAGTAGGTGAAGTTTTTTTGTGGAATTTAAAGTATAATTTACCTTGTCGCCTAATTTACAGTAGGAAAAAATAGCATGTAGCCTATATTAGGCATTACACTGATAAAAATATTGGAAAAATATTGTGTTAAGGAAAAAGGCATTACTGCTAATTTATGGGAAATGGGCATTCATAGAATTTCCATATCCGATGCAAACTATCACAGTTTGTATTTTTTTTTAAAAGTCATGTTTTTTATTTCATTATTTACTTTTTATGTTATTATTTCTGTTATTTATTTAACGTTTACGGCATTGTTTTTTTTGTGTCGTGCGTTACTGATGGTGTTTGTGTGACATGTTCTCTGTCAGTGTGATATTATTGGCTACGTTGGCTGTAGAGGTCGATTTTGATGAACTTTGAGACATTTGTCGTGGGTTTAAATGACAAAGCATTCACGTGATTACGCATTTAATTATTTAATTGATATTATTAAAACTATCCTCTTGCGTCATAATATCAGCATAATGTTGAAAACATCACGTGTGAGAACTTGCCGACAGAAAGAATGGAGCATCAAAGGTCAAATATCGATATTAAATGTCATGATATTGTGATCTGAAGGTATTGTCTGAACGCTGACGGATTTTCTCTAGCCTATACTTTACCAAATAAGATCAGCTGCTTTTAATCATTTATACTTTTATGTCCTGTTTGGTTTTAAATGTCAGTGTTCTGTGTGTGTTTTGTTCGATCACTTGTTCTTGAGCATCAGTAATTGAAGTGACAGACTCTCTCTGTTAAAGAATCAATGAAGCAGTTATATGATTTCAATCTCAATGTCCTCATGTCCTCGGCCGTTTTCTTCAGAGATATTGATTATTTACCAACAAATGGACATCTTTCCTCGCCTGTCCACCATTTACCGGTCCCATATGTTTGCCTCGTGGAATGTTCGCTAAATTTGCTGCCACAATAATGTCATGTTAATCACTTATAAGGCCTAATAATTCATATTTGATATGTTATTAATATTAACTAGTATTTGTTTAATACATTTATTTAGGCTAAGTCATATTTATTATAGAAATTCCATTAGAATTATATTTTTTTGGAAGTAGCCTAGCTTATTAGCCTATAGGCTAATTTTCAGTGATGTTATTTTTGTCGCGTTTTTATTGATTTGTACTATGTTCAAAACTAGTGAACATTAATGACATTTTCAACAATCAATAGGTTTTAATAGTATTTTCCCCACCATGTTATTATTTTATATTATTTTTCACAACAGAAGGTTATAATTTTATTAATATTGCAATCGAACAAGGTAAAATGCTGAGATCATCATTGCACCTTGGTGTCAAAATGACTTGATTTCATGAAAAAAAAATTATGTGACTTTATATAACAACTTCATTTATTAGGCCTAGTACGATCATTAGGATAGGCCATACAGTTCAGTAGCGTTTTTAAATACGTATATGAATAGCTACTATACATAAAGTATAAACCATATTTACGTTTCTACTTATTTGAATTCCTAACGAGTAACGTCCTTTCCACCATTATATAATGTAAGCATGTTTTTAATGACATAAAATTATTATTTTTTTAAATTACCATTAAGTCTAACCCTTTTTGTTTAAATTTAGATATAGCTAGTGTTAAAAAAGTTCTGTGTGCATATTTGACCCTCGTGCATCTTGTGTGTTCCTCCAGAGATCCCCCAGTGCGCAGGCTGCAGTCAACACATCCTGGATAAGTTTATTCTGAAGGTTCTGGATCGTCATTGGCACTCAAAATGTCTCAAGTGCGCCGACTGTCACGCGCTCCTGGCTGACAAGTGTTTCTCTCGCGCTGGGAATGTCTACTGCAAAGAGGATTTCTTTAAGTGAGTCTGTCTGTCTGTCTGTCTGTCTGTCTAAATATGATAAATAGACATCAAATCACTTTACAAAAATAGTCAACCTTTATTTATCCAAGGAAATAAATGCATAGGCCTAATTGAAGTGGTTAATGGAGTTAAGCAGCTGTACATCATTATACATCATATTGAATTTCTGTTGTTTCAGTCACTATATTGGCTGCATTCATTATCAAGGACTGGAAATGACAGTACCAACTGCTTCAAGTTAGACTGTCGCACAACAGTTTTGTCAAATCTCTTCACATCAGATCCTTTAGTGCAGTTTGGCACTGGTGTGTGTGTGTGTGTCGGTGTGCTTCAATGTTCAAGTAAAGGCTGGCACATAGATTCTCTGTCATTGTTAATAAAGTGCTGTTTCATTTTTCATGTGTCAGGTAAGGAAGCACAGTGTGCTGGAACTCCGCTGCAAAGACTGCGTGTTCCCAAATTCAATTCCCAATGCTATATTAGAACTTAAGGAAGCAAGTTAGCATTTTTTACTCTGCATCCCTCTGTTCCCTTCCTTTTCTTTCCTCTTTTCTTCTGTTTTGCGATTGGATTTCCCCCCTTGGCTTTAAGGAAGGAAATTAAGTTTGACTTTTATCCAAAACAGGATCAGTATAGTGGCTTTTACCAAATCATGTTTGAGAGGTTTTAATGTCACAGGCTTCAATGAGACCTAAAACGCTAGCAAGACTCAGAGTGGAGGCTAACTTTATTAGCAAGCCCATGGGGACAAAAGGAGGGATTTTAATGTTAAGACCGGCATGGTGCTGCTGAGGAGCACGGAGAGGGGGGGATGGAGTCGGTTCACAGGCGAGGGGGGCGTGCGGGGGGCGAGCCTTCCCGTTAATGTTGCAAAAACTTCACCTTGGTTAAGTAAAAGGAGGGTTTATTTAGCAGTATTCACACCGTGATTTACAGCCTATTCTGACTCAGTGCTTTATGAGCCGTTCTGTGCGTAGGTTTAAAGTGGCCTCTCTCTCTCTCTCTCTCTCTCTCTCTCTCTCTCTCTCTCTCTCTCTCTCTCTCTCTCTGCCTCTGCCTCTGCTACATTGAACAAGACCATTTGTCAACTCCAGGGACATGACCAGCACAAACAAAGATGCTCACTATAGTATCCTGAGCGTTTAAAACTTTGTAGTGATGAAAATATTACTTATACAAATAGCCATTGAAGAAGAATACAAGATGTAATGATGCTTAAATTATAAAATGAGATTCGGTAACACTTTACAATAAGGTTTCATTTTTCAACATTAGTTAGTTAACATGAACTAACAATGCCAACATTTAATGATCTTAGTTAATGTTAATTTCAGCATTTAATAAATATATATTTTGGTAACACTTTACAATAAGGTTTATTAGTTAACATCAGTTTAGTTAACGCAAACTAAGAATGAACAATACACAGCATTTATTAATTCACTATCATGAATATCAAAGGTTGAATTTGTTAACATGCACTGTGAACTAACATGAATAAACAATGAACAGCTGTTTGTTATTAACTAATGTTAACAAAGATACAGTAATTAATACAGTAACAAATGTATTGAACATTGTTTTTCATGTTAGTTAATTATAAAACGTTACCAATGTTTTTGAAATCAAAAGTTAACATTTTTGAATTGTTCAGAACTAAGCATATTGTACAAACAAGAGTACATACAGTATAACCAGGATTGTATATACAACACTGTACCTCTTAAACAAGGTTTCAAGGTTTAGATATTATTAAATGCATTTTAATGTCAATTTTAAATTCTTCAAATATAGGATTTTTTTTTTTCAAATCAACAATCATTACTTAAAATTACTTAACTGATGCATGCTACTCTAATCTTTTTACTTCAAAACAATATTATATAATCATTCCCAATGCTTTTATCTCATCAAAATAGTGTATTCTGAGTTTTGCTTTCCCTTTGTTCTGTGGGACATTCTTTTTAGGTATTATTTTATAACTAAAAACTAAAGGCACTAAATAACCAAAAACTGATTAATAAAATATAAACAGGACAGGCAGGCATATGGGAAAGGGTCAAAAGTAATTGTCTATGATGGTTTGGATGTCTCATCACATCCTGAATGGTTAAAAATGACTGAAATTGAGAAATAAGGGTTAATGCACTGTGAACAAACAAAACAATGGACAATTGTATTTGCTGTAAAACATATTGCTTTTTGTTTATGTTAACTATTGTTAACAAATAAGTAGGGGTGTAACAATATATTGTGCCACAATATATCGTTATACAAAAATGCAACAATATCATGGATAGATGAAAATTAAAAGTTTCAGAGTTTTACATTAAACTACTCTTTATAATGTTGAATATAATAATGCAATGGGGGAATATTTGTGGGTCCTGATAATGCCAAATGTGTTATGTTACCAATAAAATGTGTCCTACATTATTTTAAATATATCTAGTCAGTGACAGAGTGCAAGCAAGTTTTCGGCTACAGAATGATGAATATTTTTATTCTAGCGTCACCATTGTCCCGTGCATTGGGTTAGTACCAAGCCTATTTATTTACACATAAAATTAAGTATTTTAATTAACAGTGCATTTTTTGTCAACACTGTAAAAAATAAAACCAAAATTTTTACGGTAAAAAAAAATGGCAGCTGTGGTTGCCAGAACCGTATTTTTGACGGTAGCAATGTTATTGGTTTTACAGACTTAGCCTAAAATTTACAGTAATAAACTGTATTTCATTATCTGATATAATGTTAATTTATCAATCTATTGTAGAATTTATATCTGTTTTGTACCATTGTATTACACTGACAACCACCAATCATCATAGCAGAGATGAGAATCACATGATCAAACAAAACTCATCACAAGCAGGCTTCCACACATGGCTAACACACATAAAATAAAATAAAAAATGCAATAAACATTAATTTAACAACATTAAATGTAACATAAAACCCTAATGTACATAACTGATTAGAAAAAATAAAATAAAAATGTGAAGTGTCACGCAGGGAATTGTGGGAATGTCAATTTACATTTTTTCACTGTAAATTATACAATGAGTAAATTTAACGGTATTTTACAGTAAAATTACATTAAATGTAGCGTTAGGTCCATCACAGTTACCGTATATAGTACGGAAACTTTCTGTTAACCAATTAATTCGCATTTTTTCAGTCTTTTACCATTAAAATCATGATTTTTTTTTACAGTGAACCTTTTATCGTCTTTTAGTATCGCAATAATATCGTATCGTGAGTTCAGTATCGTGATATCTATCGAATCGTGACATGAGGGTATCGTTACACCCCTACAAATGAGACTTTATTGTAAAGTGTTCCCTGACATTGTGTGTGTGTACTTTCAGGCGTTTCGGGACAAAATGTGCATCGTGCCAGCAGGGGATTCCCCCGACGCAGGTGGTCCGGAAAGCTCAGGACTTTGTGTACCACCTTCACTGCTTCGCCTGTGTAATGTGCAGCAGACAGCTGGCCACTGGGGACGAGTTCTACCTCATGGAGGACGGAAGGCTCGTGTGCAAGGAGGACTATGAAACAGCCAAACAAAATGGTGAGCTTTTGTCTTCAGATCAGTGTAAATCATGCTTTCTCTGACCATCTGTTATGCTGTACATTTTAAGCTCTGTATTTTTTAAAAATGTATATGCATGAGTTAATGGATAACTATATTAGAATTTCAGAATGCTCAGTAAATGTATTAATTATATTGATTAATGACAAGATAGATATAGGGATACAAAATAAAGTGCTAAAATTAACACTTACCAATTTTTTTTTTAAATCATATAAATGTCTGTATTATCACACGTTTTAAATGTTTTAAAGCAAGGCAAATCAAATAGCACTACAACACATCACAGAACTGTGACATTATGTCACTTCCTGGAGGATAATTATCGTGTGTGACTATATATACAGTACATACATACACAGTATGATCTATATAAGATCTGGACAATAACATTGATGCACTTCTTGATTGAAATAACACCACAACATCGATTTCCATCAAGAGGAGCATCAATTTTTGGTCAAGATCTTGTATTGACAATGCAAGAGTCGAGTGCTCTGTAAAGTCTCCTCCAGCACATCCCAAAGACTTTTAATGAATTTAAGGTCTAGACTCAGAGGTATATATATATATACTTATATTAAACATGAATATTTAGTATTTATAAAACATTTAAATCTTAAAATGAATGTATGAGATTAATTTGCATGCATTTATTTAAACTAAAATAAATATATAATATTAAATATATAATTAATATATAATATCATGTTGTTATTATTATTTATATACTTGAGTTATGTCCATTACTACAGATCCATCAGAATTGTAGGTAGTTGCTGAACTGGCTATGAACTGCATATACTTTATAGCTATATACAGTATTTTTTGCCTCAGGCTCGGCCGACGTCACAGGATTGGAAATCGTCTCAATTGGAAATCATTCTGACAGCAAAGTTCAGGAGTGGAGATTGTGTAATTAACTTCTTCTTTTACAATCATAGAGAGACACTGAGAGATCAGAGGAGGCAACAGGATGGTAGTAAGGAGACAAAATCACCATTAACTACAGTCTAGTAGGGTCTCAGTGTCTGGCATATTAAGTCTATCTGTGATCTGACCTCTCATGGATCTGCCTCTGAAAGCCCCTCACGCTGTATTTATGGAGATTTCTGTGGGCTGTTGATTGATTATATTAAGTGATGCAATGCACTTTTACGGTAGGGCCCCAATAACTCGCACTGGCATGCCATTCTCCGTGGAGATTTATTCCCTTTTCCGCCACAGTGTGACAGTTTCAGGGGAGTATCGACTGGTCATGTGTGAGCACTTCCACTCAAAGCATCCCACAAACTCTTCTTTCCTTGTACCCCACAGTAGATGAGCTACTGACATTTTGCCTGATGATTTTTAATTTCTTTGAGGTCAGTCCTGCTTATGTCGATTTTTAAATAACCTTTACACATGTTTTCACGGCGACAATTATTTCAGTTCAGTTAAATGTTGGTTATTATGTCATTTAAAAATTAGGGCTGTGAAACGATTAATCGCAATTAATCGCATCCAAAATAAAAGTTTTTTGTTTACATAATATATGTGGGTGCACTGTGTATAATTATTTAGTATATATATTTATTTATATATATATTTATATATTTATATATATATAAATACACACACATGTATGTATATTTAAGGAAAAATATTATTTGTATATAAAATATTTATATTTATATATAATATAAATTATATATACATTTAAATACAGTATATACATGAAAATATTTCTTAAATATATACAAGCATGTGTGTGTATTTATATATATATAAAATAATTATACACAGTGCACCCACATATATTATGTAAACACAAACTTTTATTTTGGATGCGATTAATCGTGATTAATCGTTTGACAGCCCTATTAAATATATAAAAATAACAAAAAATATAAGATAATTTAGAACTTCTTCTAAACTTCTTTTGTTTAATTGATATGTGATGGTAAAGACATTTATAATTGTTTTTCTATTTGAAATAAATGCTATTCTTTTGACTTTTCTATTCATCAAAGAATCCTTAATAAAATTGTCATGGTTTACAAAATAAAAAAACAATAATAATAATTGAGCAGCACAGCTGTTTTCAACATTTATAATAATACTAAGAAGACATGCTTACAAATCAGCATATTAGAATGATTTCTGAAGCATCACGTGACTCTGAAGACTGGAGTAATGATGCTCAGGGATAGATGTCATTATATAATATATTCAAATAGAAAATAGTTATATTAAATTGTAATAATATTTCACAAAATGAGTTCATTTTTTTGATCAAATAAGTGCAGCCTTGCTAAGCAAAAGATACACTTTTTTACCAACCTCAAACTTTTGAACACTGCTGTATATATACAGTATATGTGTGTATATTTTCTGTACAGTTTTGTCCATTTTAAAATACTTTCTAGCATGCAAATACACATTTAAGCTGCTCGACTCTGTTCGACCAGCCAATGGTAGACGGTGGAAGAAAATTCAGTTCTGTTTAGTGGCACAAAAGTGACACACTTTTAATATACTTTTAAAATCGGTGTGTTACAGACGATTCAGAGACAGGAGCGAAACGTCCACGGACCACCATTACAGCCAAACAGCTGGAGACACTCAAAAGCGCCTACAAGAACTCGCCTAAGCCAGCACGACACGTGCGCGAGCAGCTCTCCTCAGAAACGGGCCTGGACATGAGAGTGGTGCAGGTGAGATGGGACTCAGGACGACCTTTCGAATTAGGCCTCAAAGTGTGGCTGTCTGAGTCCTGACTGAGGCTTTTTGGTCCACAGGTGTGGTTTCAAAACAGACGGGCAAAAGAGAAACGGCTGAAGAAAGACGCCGGTCGGCACCGCTGGGGTCAGTTCTACAAAAGTGTCAAACGCAACCGAGGGTCCAGTAAGACGGAGAAGGAGAGCTCAGCCGATGACGCAGGACTCAGCGACAGTGAGCTTAGTTTCAGAGGTGGTGACACTTTTTACATCTCCCATGACGCTCTTTCTTTCACATTTTTATTTCCCTTCTCAATTCCCCTTTTCCTTTTATTTTTCAAATATGCCACTTGATGGATTGTTTGGAATATTCAAATGAGGCTTTTGGTTCTGCTACGTGTTTTTTTTTTAATGATTATTTCATTTTTGTCCGCCAGTTTTGAGAACTCATAAAAGTCTCGAACAGCTTTCAAAGGGAGGCTGTGTTTACGAGAAATGAAAGCAGCGATGCACAAACTCTATAAAATTGGTGAAGCTTTTAGTCAATTAGAGGGGAAGCACACAGGGCTTTTGTTGTTAGTGAAAGAACAGAGTCTGGTTTGCGCTCCTGTGTGTACAGAGAGTAAATCACAAATGCTCACCGTAAGCATCAAGCATCTTTTTTTTTTTAGGTATTTCTTATAATGGCAATTCTTCTATGTGTAAGAGTTTAATATACATACCGTTCAAAAGCTCATAGGTTGAGTAAGATGCCTTCATCCATCAAATTTGATGAAAAATACAGTAATATTGTGAAACTTTTGTCTATTTTTAATATATTTGGTAACACTTTACAATAAGGTTTGATTTGTTAATAGTTAATGTATTAAAGAATTAGTTCACTTTAAAAAAAACCTTTTGCTGATAATTTACTCACCCCCATGTCATCCAAGATGTCCATATCATTCTTTCTTTAGTCGAAAAGAAATTAAGGTTTTTGATGAAAACATTCCAGGATTTTTCTCCATATAATGCACTTTACTGGGAACCAAACGGTTCAATGTCCAAAAGACAGTTTCAGTGCAAACTGTTTAAAGGGCTTTAAACGATTCCAGACGATGAATAGGGGTATTATCAAGCGAAGCGATCGCTCATTTAATAAATAAATAACAGTTTAAGTTTTATAAGCTTGCTCCTTGCTCTGTTCTGTGATGTGCGTTCGTGACTCTCCTGTTCGATCTCGTTTATCAAAATGAACGAATCTTTTTTCGTTTCATTTGGTTCATTCAACGAACGAAATGAATGAATTGACTCGGGAAAAGATTCGTTCATTTTGAAGTTCACCCAAAAAATAAAAATGTTGTCATCACTTACTCACTATTGGGCTGTTCCAAACCATGAGTTTCTTTCTTCGGCTGGACACAAAAGAAGATATTTTAAAGAGTGCTGGTAATCAGACAGTATTGTTTTCTTACTATGGAAGTCAATGGGTGTCTTCAACTGTCTGGTTAACAACATTGTTTAAAATATCTTCTTTTGTGCTCAGCAGAAGAAAGAATCTCATACAGGTTTGGAACAGCTCAATAGTGAGTATGATGACACAGCCCATTCTCACCCCCAAGGCGTCACTTAACTGACGCCTTGGGAAGCATTTGGACATGCTTCAATATCTGACGCTTTAGGCGCCCTTTAGTGTCAGTTACGTAGATGACGCCCTAGGATCGCGTGTACCCTACCCCCACCCCACACCTAAACCTAACCGCGTCCTCTAACTGACGCTTTCCTTTAGCGTTAGTTAGATGACGCCGTAGGATCGTGTCATGTAAGTGATGCTAAAGGGCGCCTAAAACGTCAAATATTGAAGCATGGTCAAAGGTGACGCCTTGGGGTGAGAATGCGTTGGATGACAACATTTTTTTTATTTTTGGGTGAACTATCCCTTTAATTTACCCTTGCTGAATAAAAATATTCATTTCTTATAGTGTAGGTGTTTTTTTAAAGAGATGTTGTGTGCTCTCTCTAACAGAAGACCAGATCCTGTCAGACCTGGGTCACGCCAACAGCTTGTATGGAAGCATTGGAGACGTCTCGAACGGGAACATGCTCAACGGGAGCTTCTCCCTGGAGGGGAGCGGGCAGCCTTACCATGACCTGCGGGCGGGAAGTCCCTACGGCCTGCCACAGTCGCCCTCGTCCATCACTTCCCTCTCTGGCCACACCCCGCTGCTCAACAACTTAGGCTTCAGCATGGACGGCATCATGGGTCAGGGCGGTCAGCCCAATGTAGGTCAAGCTCTGAGAGCAATGGCTGGAGGACCCACCTCTGACCTGTCGACAGGAAGTAGCACGGGCTACCCAGACTTCCCCACTAGCCCTGCCTCATGGCTCGATGAAATGGACCACTCCCAGTTCTGAGGTCAAATGTCAAAATGGAAAGTGCGGTACTATGAACAAGACGTTTGATGGTTTTATAGACATCTTTCCCAGAACTGTGGCGAAATGTTTATGTGGCGAGGGTGCCTAAAATGGCAGCTACTTCAACCTTGCTGAATGGCGTGCTGATACGAGCAACCCATCGTGGAATGTCTGCACTGTATCATAATTTTTTGTTACTCGTATTTTTTCATCGTTCTCAAAACTGGATTGGACGATTTCCAGCATGAAATGGCGTGCGGCTGAGAATGGCGTTCAAACCCCAGACCACCCTGGAAAAACAATCACGATCCACCACTTTCTGAGAACAAGATCGGGCCCATGCATGTTTCCGAATGAGGAAGAGAACCGCCCACGTTCAAAATGGCGACGCACTTTATGTTCCTCCTCGACTGCACACAGCAGGCTGAATACGGTAAAGAGAGGAGTGCACCGAGCAAGGAGAGATATTTAAACAAGTGGCACAAGTGTATCTTTCCTACTTACAAGGGTTTGGGATTTTAATAGGTGAAACTTTCTAAACGGCCCTACTAGAGGTGGCCCTTCACGTTAGGTCTGAAGAATAGATAAAGATTATTTTTGAATAAGGACGAATCCGCATGCACTGCTCTGAATTTTCAAAAAAAAAATCTCTGTGTCAAAGTTCAACACTTTTCTGTTAAATTCAGGCATCCTGGATAAGCAATGAAACAAAACTAGCTGGTTAAAAAAATTTAAATAAAAGTTTGTATTTATTTACTATACAAGGTTGGTATAACGATCAAAATACTTTTCGTTTCCCATTGCTATTCTTAGTTATTGCTCCATGAGCATTAGAATGTAATTTATTTCAGAGCAGATGACAGCAGTGGAATCAGAATATGTGATTGGGCCATTACACAGACACAAGTATGGCCTGACCAATTATTATCAAGCAAAAAAATGTGAAAGGGAAAATTTCTTATCTAACACATTTAGCAACAACTTGTGTTATTTATTCCTGTTATGGGTACCAATGTCAGTATTATGAAGAGTTGGATTATGGGAAAGAGTATGTGTTGCTGTAAAACTATAAAACTGGTGACACAATTGTAAACACGAGGAAAATAATTTCAATTTTGTTATTGCAAAATTTGGACCCACGTAATGGCGACTGAGTAAAGATGACGCTGCTGAAAGAGTGAACATAAGCTAACAAAAAGCAACATGAAAACAAAAAATACAAAAACAGAAAAATATCCATTCAGAAATTTTTTTTAGTCTTAATGGCTGTAAATTTTGTAAAGTCTCAAAAGGTGTCGACAGTCTTGTCTTATGAGCATTATTTATTGCTATGGATCTTTGAAAAAAAGAGCACTGAATTTAGTCCTATATGCCTTCTGTCCAATGGTATGAGTTGTGTACAGTCAAATCTATATGGAGAAATAAAGCCGAATTGTCTTTGGGTTACTGCGATGGTTCTTTTTCTTTTTACTTCACACTCTTTTATTAATAATGATTATAAAGTTATACACGGCAATAACAATTGTTTTTTAATAGTAAATCAATTATTTTATTCTCATTCAAATAAACAAATACATTACACATACTGCAAAATAATGACATATATATATATATATATATATACATATATGAAGAGTTCAGATGCAAAAGCCTTTAAATGCCATTTGAAATTTTCTTCTTTAATGAGGATTTTTATCAAACTTGTATATTTAAGTTCAGTAATTTCTCTTAAATAACAATTAATAGGTAATTATCATTGCCATTTAAATGAAATTACTGAACTTAAATATACAAGCTTGATAAAAATGATCATTCTAGAAGAAAATTTCAAATGGCACTTAGAGGCTTTTGCATCTGAACTCTTCATATATATATATATATATATATATATATGAAAAACAAAATGCATAATCTCTTCACTACACTAACTTTGTGTTGAGAAACCTCCCATGGTTTTAGAGTCATTAAACTCAACTATGTCTAATGATGATTTTAAAGTGTTCACGAGGGGCTATTCACAACAATAATGCCATTGGAGTATTTTAATTATTCACTTATAGTATTTCAAGCATTGGACGCACAGATTATTTTATTTATTTTGCAAATCGGTTGCATTGTGCACGTCAGCAATTAACTTAATTTTCGGTATTAATGTTTTGAACTACAAAAAAAAAACCATCTACATGTGTCCGTACATTGGGGTTATACACCAAGAACAATGGAATAAATAAAAAAAATCCACACACACACACACACACACACACACACACACACACGCACGTGGAACTTTCAGACGCACATCTGTTCGCCGGCTCCACAAGCTCATCCTTCTGCTTCCACTGACTGTAGCAGATTGCTGTTTAGTCAAACCTTCCCTAATCCCCTAAAAGGTTGCCTAATTGTAAACTGCTCCGTGAAATGAGGACAAGCAGGCTGCATGACGTTCTCAACGGCCAGAAAACACAACTGTGAGGTAAATGATCACACTCAAAAGACATTTCAGTCGCGTGGATTTTACGAAATAGAAATATATTATGCTATAGACAGAACCACAACCTTTTTGGGGGTCTCTCCCAAAACCACGTCCTAAACTATCCGATTCATACGTATGAAGAAGGCCAAATTGTTACTAAAACAATATAACTAATATCGTTAGATTGTGTTTTCAGCTTGCGTTTAGCTGAAAACAGTATCGATTTTCTGGTATGAAAGCAATATTTATGGAATAAACCTAAAAAAAAGGACTTTAATAGCAAAACAGTCACTGTTTTGCAAGGAAACACGCCACAAACAAGCTGATTTCACTCAGCCATTGATTGGGGCTGCCGCGGCCATTAATGTACAGCCTTTAATAGTTCAGTCTTACAAAGATAAACAGCGACAAAGACAGTTGGGATAATTTACACGCCACTTACAGCACTACTATACATATAAATCTGAGCAAATTCCTGCACTGTTGCTTTTGCAAAGATGACAAACACAAGCGCAAATGCCATTATCATCGATCTGCGAGCTTTTATTACGAACTTCCTGAAGCCAACGATTCACCAGCCTCCCGGGTGAGAAGGAATAAATTAACATGCAAATAGTTATTCAGACTAAATTTAATCTGGGCTGCATATACGGGGCATTTTTCTCTTGAGTCTGATGGCATTCAGTGACATGAGTTGGCATTTTAATTCAACAGCCATACAAATGAAGAAAGGTCATTTTGCACGGACAAACCAAACGCTTATATAACTGTAGAGGTGTACTGCACTATTTTAATTTGCATTTGATATAATAATATAGAAGCCAGCTCTTAAGTTGATGGCCTATAGGCTACGCTCTACAATGACCTCTGCCTTTGATTGACTGGAACTCTTGTTTATTACTTGGCTCTCTCTGAAATAGCCTATTGATTATGATTGGTCAGCCGTCTAAAATCTGACGTCGTCTGATCTGATACATAGACTAAATACATAGACACTCTATTGGCTGCTGGAGCATACGTCAATGTATCCGCCATTGATTATGGGAATTGAGAAAAATACCTGTTTTGTGTTCTGCTTGGGGCTGTACAAGTCGCCACACAATTCACCTTTGGCTAAGTCACGCCCTAGAATGTAGATTGACCAATCACAGCGCAGCCAAGAACGAACTCCCACAGAGGTCCGACACTTTTTCACAGCTCTCCATTGACTTTCAACACAGGCGTCTCATATTTTTGGTCTCGGCAGGCTATTACCGTCATAATTTTTTCAAAAATATGGTTAAACGTTGTGCCTGGGCCATTTGTAACACAGATACGCGTTTCCCAGAGAGGTTGGAGGGGGGTGTCCGTTTTTTCCCTTCCCAAAACCGAAGTAAAATCCTGACAAGTGTCGTCTTTGTATTAAACTGTATGGACGTCCTCAGTCAGCTAAACCCCTCAAAGATCAATAAGCACATCATTTTCTACTTCTAACCTTACTGTGAGTGTGAAGTTATACTAGTTAGACCATTTTATAATGTTTTAGGTTATGATTTCGGCGCTTTATGATTAGCGCTGCAAAAAAATACAACGTTATACTCGTGTAGTCCGTTTGCTTTGTAATAACGATTATAGAAGTGAATAGAGACCTAACGTTAACCAGCTTTGCATTAACAGTGTTGCTCCCTGATATTGTTAGTCCCAGCCTCCGTCTCGATTAGTAGGAAGTGCGGTGGTTAATTTTTGGACTGTGACCGGGTACGTTATGCTTTTGCTTCTATTTTGGATGCCTTGTTGTTTCTTGCGTTTCACCTGTATGTCTTGAAGTGGTCCAAGGACTGAGCCCTAAAGGCACTCCAGTAGCTAGATGTTGTGACTTCCCTCCAAAACACCCTCAAGTAAGACTTTAACCATTAGAGTGTGGTTCCTGTGATGCCCTTCGTCTATCGGTTAACTGTGCCAAAAACGGCAGACAATGAGATCCAGCAACATGAGTACTGATGATTTGGACGCTGCTCGTCTCAAAGCTTCAATAACCGAGAGCAGTAGCCTGGGAAAACCCAGACAACTTCCCTCAAATTTAGATTTTCTCTGAAAGGTATAGTCTGGCAAAGAGCTCACTCAAGCCCATTTCCAATCCGTCAAAATCGAGGCACCAATCAGAAGCGCTGGGGCGGGCTTTACACGATGACGACAGCGCTGGGATTTTGAAGCAGATTTTGTAACCTACATTACAAAGATAGATGCCGCTGTCGAACATCACGCGTTCGAATTAGCTATCGCGTCTGTTTTAAGCTATTTGAACGTTTCCTTTTTGTCAAAAACCAAGTAAAGAACAACACTCGGAGATGTTTCTCCGCCGCTTTGCATACGTCATCTCCTTCATTGCTCTGATTGGTTTTAGGTCTATCCCCGATGTCCGTTGGTGACGCCCCTCTTGAAATGATTTGTCTATGACGCTTTGCCAGACCATAAATCAGTTATAACTGAGAATGGTCTGGTTTTATCTAGGCTAAGAGAGCAGGGCAATCTCAGTTGAGTGGTCGCTTTTGAAACCAGAGTGGTTGTTATCCAGGAGGTTATTCTTTGTAAAAAAAAAAGTAGATACTTGAACATGAAAAAAACAGTGTGCATGTTGCCATCAATTATGATTACTAGGGGTGTCACGATTCTCCAAATCCTCGATTCGATTAAGTTATCGATTCTAAGGTCACGATTCGATTCGATTCTCGATTTTAAAAAAAAATGTAAAGCGCAGATTGCTATGCAATTTTTAGACTACACATTTATGCATTATGCAATATAAATTTGTTCACAATGTACACTGCACCATTGCCAAATTTAAAATATAACAAAAACAAGTAACATAACTTAATAGTATAACATTTAAAGCCCCTGAAATGACTAGAAAAAAAGTTTAGTTAATTTTGATGAACGAGATTGAACAATAGAGTCAGTAAAACGATCCGAACTTTCCATCACGGACGCGACATGGGGCGTGGCAGTATCGACGATACCATTTTTTATTTCGATTTCGATACCATTGAATTAATTTCGATCGATTTCGATTTAATATCGAAATCGTGACACCCCTAATGATTACATGTCAATTTGTAGCATAAAGCAGCTCTCCAGTGTTTGTTTTCAATTGCGGACTTCTGACCTCAACAGACCCAACAGAGGATATGAACTGGTGAAGTTTTTTTTTCTTGTGATTTTTTTTTTTGTCTTTAAAGTTTTTACGTGTCTTAAAAAAGTGGTTGCTAGTAAGTGTCTAAATAGGACTAGAGGTTGTTGAGGACAATAAAAGCCACAACTCAGTTTTTGTTGAGGGAACCAGGGTGACGCTAACTTCCAGGTTGGCCTGCAAAAAATGTAATCTCAGCAGAACTTTATTCGGTTAACTGTCTGAAACTGGCACTACTTATCATGTCTATTGCCGATTTGCGCTGTCTTGTTTGATACAATTGCAATTGGCACCATTTTCAGTTTTAATATTGCTTTAATATTGCTGGAGTCTTGTTCTTTGGCTGAATGTCCCATATATATAGCACACCGAGCACCAATATTTTACCTACAAATTATTATTATTTTTAAATAGTAGTGGGATATTTTTCAATGTATTTTGCTGGCTGGCAAATTCTATCCTGGAGTAAAGCATTAAATTACGAGTCGTCCAGTACATGCCATTCCATTTAAGCTGGACAAGCAGCTGAATAGCTGGAGAAAGAGAGACAAAAAGAGAGAAAGTGAAAGGGACAGACAGTGTAAGAGAGAGAGAGGGAAAGAGTGAGAGAAACAAACCTCCACCATCTGGCACTAATGGTGTTAGGGAAGCATCCAGAGAGGCGACTTGTAAAAATGCATAAACGTTAAGTAAAGAAAGCTGAGCAATATGGGACATGATTTTAGAGGAGTCCATGTCAAAAGTGAAGAGCTCAGAGGGAAATTGAGGCACATAATGGAAACATAATGGGCTTAGTGTCACTGTCGTG